GGCAGCAGTAGGAGAAGCCTCAATGGGCACGAAGCCACATATAGAGGAGAGGGGTCCTAGGACCCCACTTGGGAAAAACGGGGCAACAAAACCCTTTAGATGTGTACGGTTTAGTATGATCCTTTGTATTTAGGACCCCATACTTTTGTTGATATTAGCTCATCTAAGGACTACAATCAACTCAAAGTTCATACACAGACTAAAACGTTTAAATAATTTTAAGGACCCCAGTTAATTCAAAGTCTAGCTACGCCACTGGCGAGAGGAACCACCTAATCCACCAACCGCGGAGGTTTCATTGTTTTCCCTAACCGGGATATCGCCTCCGACCACCATCCGATAACAACAATTGTTGATGCCATGGTCGATACCAGGTCATCGCATAACTTTGCTAACAGTGACTCACTTTCTTTAAAAAGCTGACTGTCCAAACTAATGGACCGACCTGCTTTGTTTACCGAACGTCAATTCTTAAGATCATATCGAATGATTCAAAAAATTCTAACCCAATAATTCAATTCTACTAAGGTAAACGTGAGAATGGTTATTAATTTTTAAGTTGTCACGGTAGCAACCTAACTATCTAAATTATCTGTTTTCCTCCCTTAAATTATTTTTTGAATCGAAGATCAAGATTAGCCTGGGGTAATATTGGAAATGTAAAAGATACTCACATATGATTATTACCTTTAGAATATTATTTTTCATATATCTCCCTCCCAAAACCCTAACATCTCTCCTTGGCTCTTCTTCCATCGCCACTCTTCCTCGATCCTCCATCTGGCACCGATCCTAAATCCTCTGTTGAAGAGAGGATCTCGTTGTTCTCCTCCATCAGATTGGTGTTGGACGGCGGAAGTCGAACCTCATCTGATCTGGTTGGGCTTTTGTTGTAAAAAGGGGAAGGTGGAATAACTAACGCGAAACGTGCAATTGATAATCCAAAAAAATCATGTTTAATTAGTTTACTAATACAATGTGTGTGCTACCTAATTTACGGGTAGGGGAGAACAAATTTTACTAATTTGAGTAAAGCACATATATGTTACAAACAAATTAGGAAACCGGAAAACCAAACAACTAACCCGACTGGCCTAAATACATATTGAGGTGATGAAGAGTATTTATAGAACTCTTCTCCTAATATTAAACAGAAAACAAAACACATTTTCCAAACCTACCAACAAATTGCCCCCAAATAGAATAAGCCCAAAAAAAAAATTAATAATAACAAAGTCAAAATCGAATTCAAGTCATATCCTATAACTTCTTTATCATCATGGTATATCCGTATATATATTTGGCGACATGCACAAGTTTCAGGCAAGATTTTCGTGTATGCTAGCAGTTTCCAAACAAACATAACTTGTTTTCAAGTGTCGTTTATAAAACAACGCTTGATATTGACTCGCTATGACACAACTCCTAACAATGGCCAAGTGTAACCAATGAAAGGGACTGCAGTATAGTGGCTTAAGTAATAAATATCGAATCCATGGGTCTCTAGAGTTACTATTACTCAGCTTCAGTTCATTATCTAGCAAACCGGATTAAGATAGAAAAACTAAAACTACTATAGCAAACTACAGTTAAAGTTAATCTAATTACAGGTTGGGAACTCACTTAGGTATGATTCCCCCAAGCCACTAGCCAGATTAATGATTGATGATCTCTAACCCGTTTCACTTTCATTCACAATGCGGAGAATCCTTGACTAGACCTTGAGTCTCGACTAAAGGAACAAGGCCCTCTTGAGTCAATTGCCTAGAGGGACGTATCCTTCTCTAGAACAACCGATCAAGGCGTTCTGAACTAGATTCCCTCTATCGAATGAGGTTCTCAATCGATACAAAGCAGTGAATCAACCCTCGACTAAAGAAATCGATCCAATACTATCAATCTATGGTGCTCTATTGACCTAATCAGGTATTCGCTCTCATAGGATCAAAGCAGAATCAATAATCTCGACTAAAGCAGAATTGAATCATGAAAACATGCATAGATTGAATATGAACTCAAGTTTATCAAGTCAGAGTAATCATACAATCATCCAATCAAACAAACATAGCTAGGGTTCCTCAAAACCTAAGTGAAGGGAAGTTACTCCATAGAGAAGAGAGAGACTGCAGTAAGAATCTTCAGATGATCAGTTTTCAAGTCCGGGCTTGTTCCTTGAGCTTCCAAGGCGAATAAATCCTCCAATTCCACTCTTAGAATGCCCTCAAATCGTCCTCTCTCTCTCTTTGGTTCGTCCCTTGGGTGTTTGGGATCCAAAACCCAGCTCTCCCTTTCCTTTGGCTTCAATCTGCCTAAAAAACCCGATTCTGGGCAAAACACGGTCGAGGACACGGCCGTGTTTTGCTTTTGCCCGCCCATGTTTTGCCCCCAGTATCCCTCGTCGGCCAAAAAAAGGTCGTTCCTAAATATGGACACGGCCGTGTTTTGATTTAGGCGCGCCCGTGTTTTTACTGCCTAACCTGTTCCCCTATATTCAATGCTTCGTTTCTCCCTCGTCCGGACACCGAATCAGTCGCCGTTTAATCCCAGATGCTCGTAGTCTCGTCCTCTTTCTTTTCATAACAAGCTTGCATGATTCTTTGTCCATAATGTGAGGTAGAAATCCATTCTTCTTCAGGTCATGCCCGAGTTTCTTCTCCCTAATCGCCAATTGATCTCTGATTGACTTGAAACTTGCGCCTATGCTTCACTTTATGTGCTAGGACCTGAAATGTGACAAAGGAACACAACCTAGCGTAAAATAGGCCAAAGACGCGATAATTAAAGCTCAAACGATCAAGAAACAAAGGGGAAAACATGTGCAAATATTGAGTCATCAGATATTATTTGAATTGAATTAAGTTAACTGTCGTCAACTGAATTAGGATTATGATGTGAGAGATCTACGACGATCAGGCCGCAACCTAAAGCCCAACCTGCGATTCGTCGCATGACCATGTCATGCGTTGTTTTCCCGTTTCCTTTTCAGTGTTGGATTTGTTTCTTTTCTTGCAACTTAAGTTTCTTGATTTTAGCTCTATATATTAAGTTGGGCGATATTAATAAAGAGAAGATTGGAACCCAAATTATTAGTTTTACTCTTCCTTAGCTCGTAGATCTAATTTCATTAATTGTAATGCAACAATTGGTATCCGAGTCTGATTTGAAAGAATCAAACTCCAAACCAATCCAATGGCACACATGACTGGCATCTGATTGGCAGCAAGCAGTAGGAGAAGCCTCGATGGGCACAGAGCCACATATAGAGGAGAGGGGTCCTAGGACCGCACTTGGGAAAAATAGGGCAACAAAACCCTTTAGATGTGTACGGTTTAGTATGATCCTTTGTATTTAGGACCCCATACTTTTGTTGATATTAGCTCATCTAAGGACAACAATCAACTCAAAGTTCATTAGATACATAGACTAAAATGTTTAAATAATTTTAAGGACCCCAGTCAATTCAAAGTCTGGCTACGCCACTGACGAGAGGAACCACCTAATCCACCAAACGTGGAGGTTTCATTGTTTTCCCTAACCGGGATATCGCCTCTGACCACCATCCGGTAACAAGAATTGTTGATGCATTGGTCGATACCAGGTCATCGCATAACTTTGCTAATAGTGACTCACTTTCTTTAATAAGCTGATTGTCCAAACTAATGGACCGACCCGCTTTGTTTACTGAACGTCAATTCTTAAGATCATATCGAATGATTCAAAAAAATTCTAACCCAATAATTCAATTCTTCTAAGGAACACGTTAGAATGGTTATTAGTTTTTTAGTTGTCACGGTAGCAACCTAACTATCTAAGTTATCTGTTTTCCTTCCTTAAATTATTTTTTGAATCGACGATAAAGATTAGCCTGGGGTAATAATGGAAATGTAAAAGATACTCACATATGATTATTACCTTTAGAATATGATTTTTCATATATCACCCTCCCAAAACCCTAACATCTCTCTCCTTGGCTCTTCTTCCATCGCCACTCTTCCTCGATCCTCCATCTGGCACCGATCCTAAATCCTCTGTTGAAGAGAGGATCTCGTTGTTCTCCTTCATCAGATTGGTGTCGGACAACGGAAGTAGAACCTCATCAGATCTGGTTGGGCTATTGTTGTAAAAAGGGAAGGTGGAATGACCTATATTCCTCATGGGTAGGCTTATGTCTTTTTTTAATTTTTTTAGTGGGTGGGCTTTTTGTGTTTGTTTATTTAAAATAAGATGAGAATAATGTGTTATAGTTAATTAATAATTGAATCAATACTATGTATTCATAGGTTTAAGTAAATTTATAACAATAAATATGTTGTAGTTCAATACAGTGTGTCAGTTACAATTATTAGCGTTTTCTTGGATGTTCGGGTTTAAAATTTCTTACATCAACCTAGTATGATTGGAGCGGATTTGTTTTGCTCGACACACCTCTTTGACATATGAGTCCGCCTCTGATCGGGACAATAAAAAGTTAAGTCATGCCAACAACTTGCTAACTATTCAAATATCATTTATAGTCTTTGTAGTTATGATAACTCTTGTACAAGGTATATGTCGTGTGTATCTAAGTCATCTAAGAGAGAGATCTTTATACTACAAAAGATCCATCGAGTCACCACCATCACCCTGTGTCTGTGTGTCCCTTTTAAACTATCCTTCCATTCCATACCATCCCCTCTTGTTCATGTAAATTACCAACTATTTTACATTATCGTCTTAGAGAAAAAAAAAAAAAACCAAAGGTCCTCGCAAATACATACATTGTATAATTCTTTTTGCAAAAGAAATAAGAATCAATTTAAAAGGATACACACATTCATGAAATCCATCTCCTTCAATTAAATTAAAATATAAAAAACCCAAACTCGAAGGTGAATACTAAAGCATAATAAAAGTAGACCTGTCGTCATCATTACTTGATTCAACATAATCCTTTCACCTTTCTTTCTCCGTCATTCTTTATGAAATAAGTGGCCTGGCGGTGAGGGTATTGACATTCGGCATCAACCTTTGGTCCTGATAATGGTGACAGTGCCTTTGCCGCCTTGAGTATAGATCTTGGTAAGTGCCACCACAGCTTTCCCGGAGAGACCAGGACGGCCCGCCGCCGTCACGCATGGCCGACACGCGAAGTCACCGACTGGGTGTCTTAGTGGCCTCGTTGGTGTCATTAACAGCCTGCTGTTGATCTCTTCTATTGTCACCACCCCTTCTTCGCCGCCGCCGGGCTTCACCAACGCAAATGGATACGCCACCCTCCGCCTCCTTCTCCTACCGCCGCCGCCGCCTGTACTTGGTAGTGTTACTATCTTTTGCTGCTTTCTGTCCTCGTCAGCATTTTCCTCCTCCTTAATCTCAATTCCCCTGCCTACCCCTGCATGTACATATTTTGGCATATTTGATCAGAAAAGGGTAAAAATGGAGCATATCCCAAAACTCGTTTAGATGAACTGAAGTTTGAATTTGGAACAGGCCTTAGGAAAATTATCTCAATTTTTAAACAATACAGGAGTGGGTTTTTATTTTAAATTTTCGGAAGAAAACTGGCCATATTTAACTATTACAATTAAGGTCAACCGAGTAGGGGTACAACGATCATGTCTGTACCGGATTGAGTTGTACCGAATCAATATTTGGGCTGTATTGAATTGATCGAATATATTTAAATTCGGGTTTAAATCTTAGAAATTATCTTAATTAAGTTTGAAGGAAAAGTGGAACGAAATCGAATTTGGACCGGACAAAGTCGAATCAAATGAACCAAACATACACCGGGTCCGGTTCTAGATCTCTATTTTCTTTGATTTTGGTTCGGTAATCACATAAATGTCACATCAAACCCTTAAGTTATAACTTTTAAATTATAAACCAACAAATATGAGAGAAATATTATCGATATAGACCAAAAAGAGAAGATAATTATGATAAGTTTCAGAATCTTAGAAAAATGAGAGAGAGACATAATATGATCGAAGTATTTATGAAATTACCACATTATTGATACGTATATATAATCGTGCAAGTCGTAATTGATAAATCACATCAAGATGTACAATGGTCAAACCTTCCATCCAACCCATTTTTAATTTCCCAAACATTTGAATGTGTAGACAATTCTCTAAATTTCGGGTTAGTTTTTGTCACAAAGACTCAGAGAATGGTGCATACAAATTGAATTATACAAAATGATAGAGTACAGAAGCTGGAGGTTATAACTTATATACTTACAGGCAAAATGCTGATGATGCAGAAGCTGGTGAGTCGCCGTCGGCCCTGAATTGCACGAGTGATACTGATCTCCGTCATCGACGGCAGAAGAGACAGATTTGGCACGGCCGGAGGACGAGGATGAATAGTACTCTGCATCAGGTTCAGTGGATGCTGCCGATGACGCTGAGAAGATTTCTCCAAGGAGCTCAACCTCTGGACTTATAACGTGGAAATTCTGTGACGACTTCTCCCACCCGTAACCGTAGCAGTGGCTCTGAGACTGATCATGAGGTTGCTGATGGTGAGGATTAATCAGTAAGCGCCTCCGTTTGGAAAACAGAGCATCTTCCAAATATCCGGTGCTCGTAGTTGCCGCCGCCAAGTCCAACTCTGCAAATGAGAAATACTTGTCGTCTTCCATCACTGCAGAGAGATCTAGACAACTGTGGATATGGGCTTTTTTTCTTCTTCTTCTTTTCCTTGAATTCTTCCCCCCCGACGACCCTCCTTTTATCAATGGCGTTAGGTGAAAATGGTCAGGTTTTGGTGAGAAGCTGGCCCCGCCATCCAGAGAAAAAAGCCGCACAGATCTTTGCTTCTTTCTTTCTCCTCTTAGGCAGGCAGGTAAGCTAGGAAAGCAAAAGCACTCCCAAAGGGTCCAATGATTTGCTTTGCCATATTTTAAACTTTATTTTCAATTTGAATTTAGAGCAACAAGAAGCAGACAAGCTAGCCCCGCCAAGCAGGAAAAAAATGGCGCACAATATTTGGTTACAAACAAATGATTTGTTTTGACCAAATCCAATCCACAAACACTGCATGCGATGTGATGTGATCGAGAGGGTGTTTTAGTGGAGCGATGATGATGCGGTTGTGTCACGACAGCAATAGCAAACAATTGACAAGGTGGCTGCCTGGCTCAGTTGGAATAATCAATTATCATTTACCAAGTGAAGTAGCAAAGCCTCTGCATTGATGAGTCCAACGAGATATATGTTTTGAGGCATATAAAGCAAGGAGGAGGCTAAGCCATAAACAAGTCGCGCAATAGGTTGGGTAATTACCATCAACCATCACACAACTTGTCACTTAGTACAAAACGGTAACTAAATTTTATTTTTGCACTTTTCAGTCTGTTAGAATATGACTTGAATTTGATTTGAGTTTGTTTTGTGTTTTGGGCCTATTCTGATTGGGTTTGTGTTTGGACTTTGTTTTGGCATTTTTCCTTGTATGTTTGCGAAAATGTGTTTGGTTTTCTGTTTGGGATTAGGAGAAGAGTTCTATAAATACTCTTCATCACCCTAGTCTGTAGTAAGGTCAGTCAGGTTAGTTTGTTTGGTTTGTCCGTTTGGAATTTGGTTTGTAACCCGTACTCTCCTCAAAATTAGTGAAATTTGTCCCCCCTGCCCGTGGATTAGCTAGCACACATTGTGTTAGTGAACCATGTTAAATTCGTGTTCGTTTGTGTTACTCTAGATTATCGATTGCCACGCTTCTGTTCTGACAAGTGGTATCAGAGCCTTTGGTTGCAGTTTTGGGAATTTGGCGTTGGACGGAAGTTTCGCTTTGTGGAGTTTGGTTGGAGTTTGTTTGATAGTAAGAATGGCTGCTATCAGTATGAAGATTAAGAAGTTTACCGGAAGAAACAGTTTCAGTTTGTGGCAGATCAAGATGCAAGCACTGTTGAAACAACAAGGTTTGTGGGCTCCATTGTCTGGAAAATCGAAGAAGGAAAGTATAGATGAAGAAGAGTGGATTACTTTGGAGGAGAAAGCTCACTCTACAATCTTGCTTTGTTTAGCTGATGACATCATCACTGAGGTTGCTGCTGAGAAGACTGCTGCGGGTTTGTGGTTAAAGCTTGAAAGTCTATACATGACAAAGTCTTTAACTAACAAGTTGCATATGAAGCAACGTTTGTTTAGTTTGCGTATGGAGGAAGGTATGTCTCTCAGGAATCATCTAGATCAACTCAATACCATCTTGCTAGATCTGCGGAATATTGATGTTAAAATAGATGATGAGGATGCTGCCTTAATTCTGTTATTATCTTTGCCACAGTCATATGAGAATTTTGTGGATTCTTTTATTGCTGGGAAAGATAGTTTGTCTTTGGAAGATGTCAGATATGCTATATATACTAGAGAGGTTCGACATAAGGCATCTGGTTCAGGTTCGAAAAATCAGGCATCTGGGTTGGCTGCTACTAGTAGTAGGAGACAACAATCTGGTAATAGGAAGGCGAATACAAATTCAAATTCTGCTAGTTTGAAGGATGATATCTGTCATTACTGCAAGGAGAAAGGACATTGGAAATTTGATTGTCCTAAACTGAAGAAATATCAGGAGAAGAAGGAATCATCTGCTGCTGTGGCGGAAGAAACTAACTCTGATTCTGAAGATGGTTTAGCCTTAGCAGTGAATGAAGAGGTACATCACCAGGATGTGTGGTATTTGGATACTGCAGCTGATTATCATATGTGTCCAAGCAGGGAGTGGTTTTCAACTTAGAGCAGATAGATGGATGACATGTTTCTATGGCCAATTGTGCTATCTGTAAGATTGTTGGAAGAGGCTCCGTCAGGATGAGGACACATGATGGTTCTGTTCGCACCTTGAACAATGTTAGGCATATTCCAGAGATGACTAAGAATCTGATATCTTTGAGTCTATTCGACGACATGGGTTTCAGTTTCAAAGGTGAAGGTGGAGTGATATATGTCTACAAGGGTTCTAAGGTGATTTTGAAAGGTGTCAAGCGGGGTGCCTTGTATAGTCTACAAGGTTCTGTTTTGACATGTTATGTTGGTGATAAGTGCACCAAGCTGGTTTTGAATGGCAAGTCGCAGTATGGATTGGACTTGCCGAATGGTTTGAGTTGTTGACCGCCCTTAGGGGCATCTGGAGGCAGGGGAGATTCTTGTACAGCTGATTTGGAGGAGTTTGGTATGTCTGGAAATCTTGATTGCATCTGAGTTTGGATTTGTATCGCGTTTGAGTTTGGTGATTTCGATCACATCTGGCACATCTGGCAACTTTGGTTGCGTCTGGGTACATTTGGCAACTTTGGTTGCGTTTGGTACATTTGGTATTTGAGAGAGAATTCAAGTCAAGGTGGAGATTGTTAGAATATGACTTGAATTTGATTTGGGTTTGTTTTGTGTTTTGGGCCTATTCTGGTTGGGTTTGTGTTTGGATTTTGTTTTGGCCTTTTCCTTGTATGTTTGGGAAAATGTGTTTGGTTTTCTGTTTGGGATTAGGAGAAGAGTTCTATAAATACTCTTCACCACCCTAGTCTGTAGTAAGGTCAGTTAGGTTAGTTTGTTTGGTTTGTCCGTTTGGAATTTGGTTTGTAACCTGTACTCTCCTCAAATTAGTGAAATTTGTCCCCCTGCCCGTGGATTAGCTAGCACACATTGTGTTAGTGAACCACGTTAAATTCGTGTTTGTTTGTGTTGCTCTGGATTATCGATTGCCATGCTTCTGTTCTGACACAGTCAAACACGTTTGAACAAATAACAAAAAAATCATTCCGTCCATTTTTGTCAAAAAATTATGTTAACAAAAGAATTAATAAACAAGTAGAAGAACCAACCAACTAAACCCAACCGACCCCAAGGAAACCGAATCACCCCTTCTGTGGTGGCCTTTCACGACGGCCTATTCCTTACCCAACGGGTGAAAGATCGATCAGGAACCCAGTCGGCACCGATAGAGTTTGTGCGTTTGTCGCCCTCGTTTCGGATGGAAGGCGTCACCTATAATTCCTTATCTGATGGCCATGGTGGTTGCATTCGAATTTTTTATATATAAAAGCTTCAATCAATTCTGAGTTTTGACAAAATGTTCACAATTGATTCTTTTTCTTAAAATTACACACTAGATCTTGTAGTTGTAGGGAAAGACGTTGAGGGTGGTCAATATACCAAATCTCACCCATCTCAGTTCTCTGTAGGGGCGGAGCTATGTAGGCTCTCGGGGGGCCCCGGCCCCCCACCCGAGAATTTCCAAACTTACGTATAAAGTCCTAGGAACTTTCGAGAATTATGTATAAAATCAACGTTAAGTATATTTAAAATCCGAGTGACACATTATTAACAGAATCTTCTTGTAGTATAGTGGATTTGTAGTCAATAGCAGCCAAATGGTACTAGGTTCAAGCCTAGTTGGAAGCTTTTTTATTATTTTAACTTATTTATTTATTTTATTTTCAGTTTAATTCTTCAAGTTTCCTGCTTGGTCTTATAACTCCGATGATTTCAAATAAAGTTAGTCAAGTTATTCAACTTTTACATTAATATTTCATGGATATGTTAATTAAATAATAATTCATATAAACACTAATATAATCATAAATTCATATGAAAGGTATAATAATATTGAAAAAATTACATGTTAAAGTGCAAGATAATTTTTTCATAGTATAATAATTTATTTTGAACATAGCATACTAGAATACTTTAAATTAATTCTATTTTGATTATTTTAACTAATGTTATGTCGTTATAAATTTTTGTTTTTTATATTTTTGCGGTTATGTACTAACTAACTCCCCCCCCCCCCCCCCCCCCCCCCCCCCCCCCCCCGACCCCCGAACTTTAATTCCTAGCTCTGCGTTGTGTACTTTTGATCTCGAACGGGTGGTAGCCCCTTCCTGGGAGGAATGGGGCCAAGGAAATAGGTGTTTGGGCTTTGATTTCTTGGGAGCTATGGTTTTAAGAAGGTGGTAGCGGTGTACGTGTGAGTGAACAGGTATGGGAAGATGAAGAAGTCGGCTGGTAGAGAGAAGGAGATTGGGGAAGGGGTTTGGTAAAGTAAAATGGTAACAGTGGCCTTTATATGAGGAAGGACCAACCTCCTGAACACAATAGTGTTTTGCTTTGGCTTTCAATGCTTGCCTCAGCTTGTTATTTTCGTTCCTTTAAATAGCTAAATGACAACCAACTGTACTAAAACTAAGGAAAATCAAAACCAAACTCTAACGTAAACAATGGAAATAATAATAACCATAATTCATATCCTTTATTCTAGGAAACCACTTGCCCACAATTGTTACGTGACATTCCTTCCCCCTTAGAAAGTGTTCTTGTCCTCAAGAACCAGCGAAGGGAATTGCTGCTGTAGAGTGGCCATGGGCTCCCACGTAGCTTCTGCTGGTGAGGAATTACTTCAATGCACTAGAACTTCGTGGACTCCCTTGTTCTTGCGTTGGTCGAGGATGGCTTGGGGTGATACTTCAAAGTCTGGGAGATTAGGCAGAGGCTGAGGTTCCTGTGGTACAACTCCATATGCAGGTTTGAGACAAGAAACATGAAATACTGGGTGAACCTTAGTTGCGGAAGGCAGGTGCAGCCGATATGCAAGAAGGCCAATACGCTCTAGAACTTGATAGGGTCCATAAAATCTTGGGGCCAGCTTGTGATGCTTCTGCAAAGTGAGGGTGAGCTGTCGAAAGTGGTGGAGCTTAACATAAACCCAATCTCCAACTTGGAAATTGCGATCACGCCGAACCACATCATAAATCTTCTTCATCCTCTCCTGAGCCTTCACAAGCTGCTGCCGGAGATGTTGGAGGACTTGATCCTGCTGTTGGAGAGCAAGGTCCAACGTTGCCACCTTAGTTGTGCCTGGTACATAAGCAAGTAAGGAGGGATTAGGCTTGCCGTAGACAATTTCATATGGGGTATGCCTGGTGGAGGAGTGTTTGCTGGTGTTGTAACAGTATTCAGCCCAAGGTAGCCACCTGATCCACTCTTTCGGCTGGTCGCCAGTGAAGCAATGAAGATACATCTCAAGGGCCTTGTTAATGGCTTTTGTTTGCCCATAAGTTTGTGGGTGATATGCTGAGCTGAAATTGAAACTGGCACCCTGCAGGCGAAAGAGTTCCTTTCAAAACTGACTAGTAAAAGTATTGTCTCTGTCACATACAATGCTAGAGGGCATACCATAGAGTTTGAAGATATTCTGGAAAAAAACTTCAGCAACTGTGTTGGCAGAGTATGGGTGCTAATTGGGATGAAGTGGGCCAATTTCGACAATCTGTCAACCACCATAAATATGACTGATTTTCCTTGTGATTTAGGCAACCCTTCAACAAAGTCCATGGAAATATCCATCCATGTGTTAGTCGGGATAGGAAGAGGACTAAGGAGCCCAGCAGGTTTGAGGCTTTCAACTTTGTTCTTCTGAAAAACGTCACATTCTCGAATAAAATCCCGTAGCATATGTGGTAAGTTGGGCCAATAAAAGACAGTCAAAATCCGCTGTAATGTCTTGTGGTGCCCTTCATGAGTGATGGAATGCATCTCCTTGAGTATGAGAGGCACCAAAGAAGAAGGGGCAGAAAGATAAATCCTACCCTTATAGTAAAGAATGCCATGTCGTACCTCCCAAACATTAGAAGTCTTCCCATCCACACACGATTGCATGAGTTGCTGAATATGAGAATCCCCCTTAACTTCCTCTGCTATTATATCCAGCCAAGAAGCAACTGGTGTAGAGATGGCACAAATTTCATGTTGGCGCGATAGAGCATCGACTGCCTTATTCTCAACTCCCTTCTTATACTCGATGGAAAAATCAAACCCAATTAGTTTGGTCAGCCATCTTTTTTTGCATGGGGGTGGTTATTTTCTGCTCCAAAAGGTGTTTGAGACTCCGCTGATCGGTGCGCACCACAAATTGGCGGCCTAAGAGATATGGGCGCCACCGTTTCACTGCTAAAACCAGAGCTAACATCTCTTTTTCATATGTAGAGAAGCGAAGAGAGGTACCCTTAAGTACTTGGCTGAAAAAGACAATGAGGTGTTGATTTTGCATGAGAACCGCACCAATTCCCGAGCCACTAGCGTCACACTCAATGACAAATTGTTGAGTGAAGTCCGGAAGGGTGAGAACTGTTGCCTGCGTCATTACAGTCTTGAGATTCTGAAAAGCAGCTTCAGCCTCCGGATTCCAGTGAAATTGACCCTTTTTCAGCATATGAGTGAGAGGAGCAGCAATCTTTTTGTAGTCCTTAATGAATTTACGATAGTAACCTGTAAGGCCAAGGAATCCTCGTAGGGATTTGATGGATTGAGGCTTGGTCCATGCCACCTTAGCTTGGATTTTGTCAGGATCCACAGCTACGCCAGCATCAGAAATAAGATGACCCAAGTATTTAACTTCTTGTTGGATAAATGAGCACTTTTCCACTTTGACATACAAGCTATGCTTCCTCAAAAGCTCAAAGACAGATTTGAGGTGGGTCAAATGTTCCTCTTTGGTCTTGCTATAAACCAGAATATCGTCAAAGAAAACCAATACGAATTTGGAAAGGAACGGTTTGAATACCTCGTTCATCAAGGACTGGAAGGTAGATGGCGCGTTGGTGAGTCCAAAGGGCATGACGAGGAATTCATAGTGCCCTTGATGAGTTCGGAATGCAGTTTTTGGGATGTCTTCGGCTGCCACTCGAATTTGGTAATAACCAGAGCGGAGATCTAGCTTGGAGAAATAGGTATCCCCGTGTAACTCATCCAGCAACTCGTCAATCACCGGGATTGGGAACTTGTCCTTGACGGTGACTTGATTGAGGCCCCAATAATCAATGTAACATCCCGAACCTTTTCCCGACAAGATACTGTCCGCTTTGGGCCTCTACCCCCGCACGGATTTTGACTTGGGTTGCAATTCAGGGTGACTTCCAATAAGGTCACCCATCCTTGTTGTACTCCACACTGAGCACGTTTAACTTCGGAGTTATCACAAGAACTCCTCCATTACACCCAAAAACGCGTCTTGTCAGTTAAGGTCGGTTTCCTACTAATGAACCATAGATCTCTCCCGTGCTTTGTCGATGTGGGATTCGCCTAAGGTGTTACAAACACCCCCCCTTGGGACTCAACGCCCTCGTTGAGGTTTGCCCCACCATCGTTCAAGAGGGACGCGGAAAGGCTCTGATACCACTTGTAACATCCCGAACCTTTTCCCGACAAAATACTGTCCGCTTTGGGCCTCTACCCCCGCACGGATTTCGACTTGGGGTGCAATTCAGGGTGACTTATAATAAGGTCACCCATCCTTGTTGTACTCCACACTGAGCACGTTTAACTTTGGATTTCTCACAAGAACTCCTCCATTACACCCCAAAACGCGTCTTGTTAGTTAAGGTCGGTTTCCTACTAATGAACCATAGATCTCTCCCGTGCTTTGTTGATGTGGGATTCGCCTAAGGTGTTAGAATCAACACACAACCGCCAAGAGCCGTCATGCTTCTTGACAAGGAGTACTGGTGAAGAATATGGGCTTTGACTATATCGAATGACACTAGAAGCGAGTAGGTCTCGTACAAGTCTCTCAAGTTCCCGTTTGAGATAATGGGGATATCGATATGGTCGGCTGCTAACAGGTTGACTTCCATGGATGAGAGGAATCTGATGATCATGGCTGCGGGGCGGTGGAAGCCCGTTGGGTTCCTTGAAGAGATCGGTATAATCTTGGAGCAAGTTGGGTAGTTGCTGTTCGATCATAGTGGAGCTGGGGGTGCCACTGATGAGTAGCAGAAATCCACCTTGACTCTTTCTTACTTCCTTGGCTGCCGCAAACTCATCCACCATTTGGTTCTCTGGGGTAGTGATACCCTGCCAATGAACTTTGGCATCTCCCAGCTTGAAATCCATAATCAATTTCATAAAATCCCAAGTGATTGGCCCCAATGAACGCAACCATTAGGTACCGAGGACAACATCACACCCAGCAAGTGGCAAGAGATAGAAATTAGTGGTGATTTTCAGCCCTTGAACAACGAGAGTTACCTTTGAACAGCATCCTCGACTTGACACCTTATCCCCATTAGCCACAGAGACAGAAAAGTTCCCCGAATTTTCAGGTTTCAATCCCATCTTTTTAGCCATTCTCAAACTCAGAAAATTATGAGTACTACCCGAGTCAAGTAAAACCAACACCAAGCGTTTGAGAATCTTTCCATGAACCTTCATCGTCCAAGTAGATTGAGCACCAAATATATCATTGTTTGAAATCCCTAGCTCATTGACATCTTCTAGCTCCATATCAACGTCTTCCTCCACGACATCAATCGCTTCCAACAAGAAGAGCTTCTTACAACGATGGCGAGCCGAATCTTTCATTGCAATTGAAGCAAAGCCCCTTGGCCCGCCTTTCATTCACCTCTGCTGGATTCAGTCTCTTGATTAGCAGATTCCCACGAGGTGTGTTGTGAAATCTCATCCCCTGGTGTACAACCCGCGAACGGTCTTCATACAGTCGAGCGAGGCCGATAGCCGTTGTCAGCGTCGCTGGCTTACAAACTTGGACATCAGTTCGAATCTCCAACTTTAATCCACTCATAAAACAACTCACTTGTTGTGCCTGCGTCATTCGCCCAGCCCTTACAAGCAATTTCTCAAATTGGGACTGGTAGTCCCGCACACTACCCGTCTGTCTTAGCTTGGTGAGTTCTCCAAAGAAATCTTCGAATTGCGTTGGGCCAAACCGGGTGTGCAACCCTCGCTTCATGTCATCCCAGGTGAGCTGTTGATCGCCATCCTTTAACACCTGCAACCATAGTTGGGCTTCGCCCTCCAGGTAGATGGAGGCTAACAACACTTTCTCTTCCTCTGGAGTGCCATAGAACTCAAAAAATTGCTCAGCTCTGCAGACCCAAGTAGTCGGGTCCTCATCTCCCCGGAACCGTGGGAAGTCAATTTTAATTCTAGGGTTCCCGTGGTGACCGTCCGGTTGTCGATTTCTAGGATTATCATTGATAAGCTGAAACCGTGGTTCTTCTTCCTCACGCCGTCGTTCAAACAACTGGTCGAATCGTGCGTTGAGGGTGGCGAAATTCTCTTTGCTTTCCTGCTGCATCTCTTGTCTCCTCGTTTCGTTGAATTGCATCTCATGTCGGAGTAAAGCTTCTAGCTGATCAAGACGAGCCTCCATAGTAGTGGAAGCGGCCGGCTCTGATACCAAATTGTTGTGTACTTTTGATCTAAAACGGGTGGTAGCCCCTTCCCGGGAGGAATGGGGCCAAGGAACTAGGTGTTTGGGCTTTGATTTCTTGGGAGCTATAGTTTCAAGAAGGTGGTAGCGGTGTACGTGAGAGTGAACATGTATGGGAAGATGAAGAAGTCGGCTGGTAGAGATAAGGAGATTGGGGAAGGGGTTTGGTAAAGTAAAATGGTAACAGTGGCCTATATATGAGGAAGGACCAACCTCCTGAACACAATAGTGTTTTGCTTTGGCTTTCAATGCTTTCCTCAGCTTGTTATTCTCGTTCCTTTAAATAGCTAAATGAAAACCAACTGTAATAAAACTACGGAAAAGCAAAACCAAACTCTAACGTAAACAATGAAAATAATAATAACCATAATTCATATCCTTTATTCTAGGAAACCACTTGCTATCAACTGTTACGTGACACTCCGCCCCTGGTTCTCTGTTTTGATTTCTCTTTCTCAGTAGAGATAACTTCGTATCCAATTATTTATTTATTCTAGGTGGGGGCAGGGTTGGTGCAGAGGAGGGCGGTTGTGAGATTTGAGAAACGGTTTTGGTTTGGAGTGGTTTTAGTGTCGGCGTGGACGTACTTGATGAATAAAAGTTTTGCCTCTCTAGATTTAGTTGGCACAGTGAAGGATTTAAAGCAGAATGCATCATTGTTGGAAGCAGAGAGGAAGGGGAATGGAGAGAGGGATGTGATAGAGGGGGAGGAGAACAACTAGCTTATTCTAATTCCATTGTTTGTGTGATTTGCGTCAAGGAAAAATAAGGAGGCCGTCTCTTATAAAAGGTAGTCTGTACAGAGGAAATTTTGCCTGACTAAATCTCCCGATCAGACGCTCAGAATAGTACACCGTGAAGAACACGACGAAAGGGGTGATTTGGTTTCCTTGGGGTCAGTTGGGTTTGAATGGGTCGGTTTGGTTTAATTGGTTGGTTCTTTGAATTATTTTAGTAATTTCTTTGTTGACGTGGCGTGCTGACTGTACTCAACTAATGTATTTTTGGATGGAAATAGACGGAATGACCTCTTTGTTATTCGGCCAAACAACAATAGGTAGCACATGGTTTTGGGAATTACTGATTTGATGTTTGTTTGTCTTGTTGTTTGGATAGGAGAGATAGTAATCGGGAGAATGAAGGTTCAAGAAGGAGGTGGGTAGGCGTTGGGGTTTTGCCTAGCGCGTAGGATGCATAGGAGACACCTAGGCGTTTTAAGCCATCAATACAATTTTAAATGATCGCGACGGTAAAGAGAATGAAAGAAGGCTAGGCTGATCAAAGGTAGATAAAAACGAAGAGGAACTAAAGTAGTACATATAGTGGCGTGATTTTAGTTGTTTAGCAGTCGAGGGTGGCGAATAATATGACAAACCATCGGGTCTATCAAAGTTGGAGACGAGAAGCACTCGAGTCGCAAACGTTGAATTTTGGGCTAGGGAGAAGTCGTTGCAATTCAGATAGCTCCACTGACCTATTTTTTAAATTTCCAGCTGAGGAAGGAGGCATGTGTAGGACGAGTCATTAGAAGGAACTAATCGAACATAAAGTGGCGTCATTTTGGGACATTTTAATACATTATTTTTTTTATCTTTAGTCGCCAGACCACCTAGCTCCAATTAATGGCACCTAACTCCACCTAGTCATTAGAACGCCTAATTGTCTACTTAGGTCCTAGGCGAGCCATTTTGTCGCTTCCTAGATGCATCTAAGCATACACGGAATTATGTATTCTTCAACCATAAGAGAATCACATGATTTTATTATTAAGGCCTTTGAAGTTAATATAGGTGTTTTTATGCGTTGTCAAAGTTGATTCGGTTTCTCTTTAAGCTCAACATTGAGTACACTAGACCTAAGCAATAAACAAAAGCAAAGCTCAAAATTGAATAGGTGTCTCACATTTGCTTGTTGGATTTGAAAATGAGGATTTTGAGTTTTAAAAACCTTTGGATTGATGATGGCTTTGTTACATTATGGATTTGAAAGAGATCATTGTTTGTTTAGTTATCTTTTATCATGGATTTATGATGGATTTGTCTCACATTTTTGTCTTCTATTATCAAATCCCAAATGAAATGCGAGATTTGCAAATCCTTGGGATCCAAGGATGTGGATCTAAAAAAAGTTTCAAATCCGTGGGCCCCACAGATTTGTGTCTCTCAACAATCAATGAACTTAAGTCAATTCCATGATGCTTGGGATTTGGGTGCCAAATCCATCACCCAAATCCCACAAGCAAACGATACCTAAGTTGAATCGGTGTTCTTGATACCACATTAGACGGAATTTTATAGCAAAAAAATGGGGTAAATTGCAAGTTTAGTTACTAGAATTACTATAAAAATTCATGTTTGTCACTAAAATTAATTTATTCCATCCGTAGTCACTCAAATTAGTTACACATTTCAAATTTGGTCACTGGCCGTTAGTATCCGTTAACTTTTGTTGATGTGGTGGTCAACTCTCATAGTTGACTGTTAAATAAATGACATGACAGTTAAAAATATTATTAATTAATATTTTACAATTTTCTCTTCATTTTCACAACTATTATAAACAAAATTCATTCCTAACAATTTGCTAAACACCTAACCGCTTGACCAAGGTTTGTCGTTTCCTATGCTTCCCCTCCTCCCTCGCATGCGCTCTCGCTCAGTAGTTCTTCCCAGAACCAGTTGTTGAGTTCATGATCTGACGTTGACTCAAAATCGACCTCTTCCCCCTCATTCCCATCATCATCCTCTTCCATTTTCTCCCCTCTCTCCTTCCTAATCCCATTCCCATCCCCCTACATTTCAAGCGCCAAGACTTTCAGTCTCGTCAATCCAGTTGTTGAACTAGCGGAGGCTTTTGCTCGATATTAAAGTGTCGCGAAGGAAGAGACGAAGTCGGGATGAAACGACGGCGGCAGGGAACAACCTCTAATTGAAATTTGGAGACTTTATAATTTTTTCCTTATCTTTTAAATTATTTTAAATTATTTTGGCTAAAAATAATATTTTATTCTTTCTTACGGAAGATGGATGAAATTTGAGACGGATGCATAATTTAGTGACATTAGTGGTACCCGACGCCGTATTCATATTTAAGTGGTATGGATCCCCCAATTCTCATATTTTAGTGGTAATCGAGATATTTTACCTCGTACGGGTCCATATACGTGTATTAAACAGAGTATTTACTAAGGGGTCGTTTGGAAGTTGAGATTCTTCAAATATGTGTATTTGATGAATACATCTATTGTAAATACAAAGATTGTAAGACTTAGATGATTGGATGAATGTCTTGTTTGGTTGTACCATTCAAAAATTTTAAAGAAAAGAAAAAATCATTTTATGAGCTAAAAGTTAAACAAATTAAAGCCAACAATCTCAAAGAAAGAATCACACCTTTTTGTTGAGATTTAAAATGAGTGATTGTGGGTGACATGAGATTTGAGGGCCCACCTCAAATGCATGTATTGAATAAAGTTTTGGAACAGAAAAACGATGGATTCTCCAGAATACATGAATTCAGAGAATCATTCATCTAGAATCATAACTTCCAAACAACTCCTAACTTAAGTGATACCGGGTGCACATATAATAGATTTTAGTGGCACGTGATATCATATTCTTACTTAAGTGGTATAACTCCCCCAATTCTCATAGTTTAGTGCTACCGAGGTATTTTACATAACACATAACCTAAGGCGTTAATTGAACAGGCTACCACTTAAGTTCACAATTTGTTGCATGATGACCATCTAATTACGTTTTGTTGCAACTAAACCACTTACGTCAAATTCTGGTAGCATTGTTACCATTTTCGTCGCCATGCCTAATGGTAGGTGCCGAAATATAACTAATCATGCCAATTTGGACCGCCACATCATTTGCAGACTGTTGACTCATATTTGACCCAACCCCATTTACATCCAATAAATGGACCCCTCATCTCTTCCCAAACCATCTGACCCCTTCCTCCTTCTCCTTCCTTTCCGCCCCAAACCTGTTGAATGGTAATTTGCATTTGATATTATTAATCAATAAGTGATGAATGATAGAGATGAATTAAAGAAGCCCTTTACTACATGGGGCATAGTTGGTTGAGGAGCTTATCTTGTTCTCAATCATATCAAGTCTACTTGGTGCTACAGTAAAGAAAAGGAAGACAAGCAGATGAATGCATGGAGTAATGAATGGACCAATGGAATTAAATTGGTGTCTCCATTTTCCACAAAGAAGCAACGTGGGTGAATGAAGTAGAGGGCCAAGTATGCATGTGATGTATTATTAGTTTGTCTCAATTCCAATTATATATATATATATATATATATATATATATATATGTAAGTATGGAATTGGGGAAGTTGTCAGAGAAGTATGAGAAAAGAATAGAAAACAAAAAGAAAGAAGCTAAGCTTTTGTACGCGTAAGGCAAGAGCCAAATGAATAAGGCCTTGTTTGTTTTGAGTGAATTGTAAAAAGAGTGATTAAACACCAATTGTTTCCTTTGTTTTGATCCAAAATCATCACTACTTCCGCTAATACCCAAGAAATTTGGTATCATAGCTAATACCCCTTTATCCTCTAAAAATCCCCAATTTTCTAGCCTACACAAACTTTCTCAAAAAAGCCATGACAAAAACTTCATCAAACACCATGTTTGCTACCTCCTCTAATCAAATTCCCATTTTTGATAGAGTTGTACGAGTACTGGAGTGCCCAAATGGAGCCAATTTTAATCTCTCAAGAACTGTGGGATATCGTCCAAGAAGGATATGAAGATCCAAAAGACGAGGATGAAGACTCGAAAAAAAGAGAGCATGCAAACAGACAAAGGAGTACAAGGAGAATGCCAAGCAAAATGCCAGCGCCTTGAGAATCATTCAGCAAGCAGTGAGCAAATCAATTTATCCAAGAATCTATGGCATCAAAAAGGCCAAAGAAGTTTGGGATGTCTTGCGTGAACAATTTCAAGGTTCTGAAAAGGCGATCTCCATCGGGATACAAAGTTTATGGCGCCATTTAGACAGCTTGATGATGAAGAAAACCGACACCATCAAAGACTTCAATTCGCGTGTTGCGGAGACAATCAACTAGATCAAAGCCACTGGTGATGTCATGGAAGAGAGGAAGGTCGTGGAGAGAATTCTCCGGAGCTTATCATCAAAGTTCGAGCATATTGTTGCTGTCATTGAAGAAACCAAAGATTTGGCAAATTTATCAATGAGCGAGTTGATGGGCTCACTTGTAGAACACGAGCAAAGAATGCGCCATTTCACTAAACCGTCATTGGAGAAAGCTTTCTCGTCAAAAGTCAACATGGCGGAAAGTAAATATGCCAAATGGGAGCAAGGGCAGAGAGGGGGACACTCACAAGGAAGAGGAAGATCCAATTACAGAGGAAACAACCGACAAAATTATTAACAGCAAAAATCGGGCTACATAGGCTCGAGTTGCATAATTTGCAAAATGGCGGGCCATGCAACAAAAGACTACATATTCAAATGCATCAAGTTCAGAATTCAAAACCACTCCCAGAGAGATTGCTGGTTCCAGAACAAGCAAGAAGAAGGCGAGTTAGCGTCGCCAAAAATGAAGAAAGCAATATGGTGTCCTTGTCATGCTTGAATGATGAGCAAAAATCACAGCTTCCCTGGATGGTGGATAGTGGTTGCAGTAACCACATGACTGGAGATCTGGAGTCATTCACCGACATCGATGACCAATACCGCTCTCAAGTCAAATTGGGGGACAGAAAGAAGCTAAAAGCGGAAGTAAAAGGCACAGTTGTTGTATGCACAGAAGAAGGTAACAAAACTCTCATCCGAGACGTTTTGTATGTTCCGGAGCTAACTCTCCATCTACTTAGTGTGAGACAATTGATGCTGAAAAATTACAAGCTATTGTTTGATAATGGCGTGTGCGAGATTATCAACAAAGCAGACAATTTCATGGTGGCCAAAGTCCCGATGACTTTCAACAGAATTTTCTCTCTTGCTATGTCACAAAATGGTGAAGTAGCATTCAAGAGTGAAAATCTGGATCAATCCTTCCTATGGCATCTCAGATACGGTCATCTCAACTTCAAGGGCCTTAAATTGCTGAGGCCAAAAAATATGGTGGTGGGACTTCCCAGATCAACAAAGAAGACAAGATCTGTGAAGGATGCATTTATGGCAAAATGCATCGTTTACCATTTCCAAAGACATCTTGGAGAGTAAAAGCGCTACTGGAGTTGGTACATGCAAACATATGTCGTCCAACCCGAACACAATCACTCAGTGACAAATGATACTTTCTACTATTTGTAGATGACTTCACTAGAATGATGTGGGTATTTTTTCTAGGAGCATAAGTCAGAAGGTTTTCCCAAGTTCCTTCAATTCCAAGCAGTAGCTGAGAAGGAAAGCGGCCATCAAATCAAAACTCTCCGTACATATCGGGGAGGAGAATTTATTTATACTCTGTTCATAGAATATTGCCGCAACAACGGAATCAAAAGGCAACTGACGATCCGTCACACACCACAACAAAATGGCGTGGCAGAACAGAAAAATTGCACGATTGTGGAGATGGCGAGAAGCATGCTCAAAGCAAAAAAGCTTCCCAACAACTTGTGGGCAGAAGCAGTCAATACGGCAATTTACATCCTCAACAAATCACCAACAAAAGCAGTACGGAACAATACATCGATACATGCGTGGCACCACAGATGGCCACATGTGGATCACCTCAAAGTCTTTGGGTGCATAGCTTATGCACATATCTCTACCCCAAACTGAGACAAGTTTGACCAGAAGGAAGAGAAGCTAATCTTCACCGGCTACAATGATGAATCCAAAGGCTATTGTCTTTACAACCCAGTAAAGAACAAGGTGGTGGTTTCCCGAGATGTGATCTTTGATGAGATGGCAGAGTGGAATTTGGAAAATCCAATTTCTCAATCTCCACCAAGTTATGAAATTCTAAAGGACTCAATAGCGCCAGAAGACCCCAGCAATGACCCATATCCAGTTGCAAGTCCAGAAAGAAATTCTTCACCTAGCCCAGGAGGAGACAACTTCAGAGACATAATAACATACTTGGATTCACCTTCGTTAAAAACAAAGTCTTTACAAGAAATTTATGAGTCTTTGAAGAAGCAGCCAAAGAAGAAATCTGGACTGAGGCAATGGATGCAGAAATTTCCATGATCGAGAAACACAAGACATGGGAGCTTGTTGATCAACCGCAAGACAAGCCGGTTATAGGTCTCAAATGGATCTATAAGGTCAAATTCAATGAAGATGGTTCTATCCATAAGTACAAAGCTCGACTGGTGGCAAAAGGCTATTCACAACAGCCTGGTATTGATTTTCACGAGACATATACACTAGTAGCGAGGATGGAGACCATCAGAACAGTTCTCGCTCTAGCTACTCAACTGGAGTTACAAGTATACTAGTTGGATGTCAAATCAGCATTTCTGAATGGAGAACTGGAAGAAGAAGTCTATGTGGAAAAACCAAGAGGCTATGAGAAAAAAAGGAGAAGAAGACAAAGTCTATCATCTTCGAAAGACTTTATACGGCCTGAAGCAAGCACCGAGAGCCAGGAACAATAGAATTGATCGATACTTTCATCAAAACGGATTTCAAAGAAGTCCGAGTGAAGCATCTCTCTACATAAAAAGGGAGAAGAAAAAGATTTTCTAATGGTGTGTTTGTATGTTGATGACTTGATTTACATAGGAACAAGTCAGCAGATGATTGAAGATTTCAAAAGTACCATGATGAAAGAATTCGAGATGACGGACTTGGGAGGCAAGAAATATTTTCTTGGGATCCAAATGAAGCAGTCACCTGGAGAAATTTTCATTTCACAGGAGTACACTGAAGATATGCTGAAAAGATTTCACATGGCAACGTGCAAATCAATCTCAACATCGATGACGTTAAACGAGAAATTGCAACGCAATGATGGAGCTGAAAAAGTCGAAGGAAAGTTGTACAGGAGTCTCGTCGGGTCGCTCATCTACCTGACACATACCAGGCCACATATATATGTCATTCAGTAAGTCTTATATCAAGATTTGTGAATGAACCTAGCAAACTTCATTTTGCAGCAGCCAAAAGAATTTTGCGGTATCTTCAAGGAACGAAGAAATTGGGCCTGACGTACAAGAAAGAAGCAGAAAGCAAGCTGACTGGATATACCGATAGTGACTAGGCAGGATCACTAGATGATAAAAAAAGCACATCGGGATACATATTCTGCCTGGGTTCAAAACCCATTTCCTGGAGTCCAAAAGAAGCAAAAAACTATGGCATTATCTTTAGCGAAAGCATAATATATCGCAGCTACAGATGCAACGTGCGAAGCGGTATGGATAAAAAGATTAATTTCTGATTTGCAGCAAAATGAAAATGGTCCAACCATTATTCATTGTGACAACATGTCAGCCATAGCCATAACAAAAAATCCAGTATTTCACGCAAGATCGAAGCATATCGAGTTGCGTCATCATTTCATCCGAGACCTCGTCAACGAAGGATTAATCGTGATGGAATTTATCAACACCGACGACCAGCCAACAGATATCATGACAAAGGCGGTCACCCGTGAGAAATTCGAGAAGTTCAAGGAGCTACTCCAAATTGCAAATTAAGAGGGGATGTTGACTGGTAATTTGCATTTGATATTATTAATCAATAAGTGATGAATGATAGAGATGAATTAAAGAAGCCCTTTACTACATGGGGCATAATTGGTTAAGGAGCTTATCTTGTTTTCAATCATATCAAGTCTACTTGGTGCTGCAGTAAAGAAAAGGAAGACAAGGAGATGAATGCATGGAGTAATGAATGGACCAATGAAATTAAATTGGTGTCTCCATTTTCCACAAAGAAGCAACGTGAGTGAATGAAGTAGAGGGCCAAGTATGCATGTGATGTATTATTAGTTTGTCTCAATTCCAATTCTATATATCTGTAAGTATGGAATTGGGAAAGTTGTCAGAGAAGTGTGGGAAAAGAGTAGGAAAAAAAAAAGAAAGAAGCTAAGCTTCTATATGTGTAAGGCAAGAGCCAAATGAATAAGGTATTGTTTGTTTTGAGTGAATTCTAAAAAGAGTGATTAAATACCAATTGTTTCCTTTGTTTTGATCCAAAATCATCACTACTTTTGCTAATACCCAACAAACCTTCCTATTATCAAACCAGTGACCAGGAGCATATCCGGTGAGTAACCTTGTGGTGCTATAACCCCATGCATAACCAATAAGAATCCGCCACATCAACGTCTCTTTCTCTCTCCTAGAAAAACCTTTAATTTTCCATCCCTTAATCTCTAACGGACGATTTCTCACTCGTTTTAACTCGAAATTTTTTTTTGCACAGTTAGATCAGATTAATGGTGCTCTTCAAAAGGTTATCCACTTTGATATTTTTTGGAACAAATTTTTTTTCCAGTTATTACTAGTCTATACCATATGGTATTGACTGGTATTAAATAACAGCATACCATATGGTATGAAAAATATCACCCCATACCAGGGTGGTATAGTATGGTATGAAGTTGGTAATGAGAGGTTAATACCAGTCAATACCATATGGTATGAAAAATACCACCCCATACCAAGGTGGTATAGTATGGTATGAAGTTGGTAATGAGAGGTATGCAATTTTTTCACCCTAAAAAATTTGAAATCGAATTAATCATGATTAAATCGTTCATTCTGTGCAAAAATTTTCGAAAACGACTAAAAGACGAAGGAGATACCATATGGTATGGAGTTGGTAACGAGAGATATGCAAATTTTTTCTAAAAATATATTGAAAATGGATATCATTTTGTAGAGCACAACAAACTCGTTCCATCTGTGCAAAATAAATTGAAATCCGAGTTAGAATGAAGAAGATATGATCTAATCAAGAAAACTAGGGAAAATAAATTTCTTTAATTCTCCACTCTAAGATCTGCAGCCACTTAAAAGAAGGGTCCAGATTTGGTTACTCATACTTATGCACCTTAAGGTTATGCACCCTATCTTTAGCCCGAGTGACCAAGTTCTTTCTTAATCATTTCCTCGCGCTTCATTTTTGCTATGTCGAGTTAATTGCACTTCCGTTTCCGGCTTTTTATATTAATTTTTTGCTTGCTATCCCTTTGCTCATTCTCGCCAACGGGATCCTACTGAAGCTTGATCTCACTGGATATGAGGGTAGCTTTGATTGGATTAAGGCAATAGGGCAACTACTGCCAGATGCTCGAAGAATTGACAGTGTGCGATTATAGGATAGATGATGGGTGGTTGGCTGCTCTTCCTTTCTGTGAAAATTTGAAGACTTTGAGGTGATTGTCGTGTAAGAGAATAGATTATATCCCGGGGCCAGATGAGTATTGGGTCATTGTTCTGTTCTTGAAACACTGCATTTGGAGAGGTGTCAGTTAAGGGACAAAATGGAGTTTGATTTTTATTTAAGGTTTGTGAAAGTGTGAGGGAAATTATTGTCTGTTTGGATGATGAAGGGTTCAACATGGCTAGCACTTGTAGGTAATTTGCTTGGTTCAGTACTATATATGTTCTTCAAACTACGTTGTGTTCCTGTGACAGTAGAAACTAGAAATCCCTTTGTCCCCATGTTTTAATGGCTTAACTGAGTATATAGATATGGATTATTAGGTTAGGAACTATGGATAGTGCATATGGTAACTCCCCATGGTTCATTAGCTTATGCCAGATGATCAATAATATGAGAGTCCTACTTAGAACTATTGTACGTACTGCAGTCCGTTGATGAATGAGGAATTAAATCAATAAGATAAAATTATAGTGTTGTTGAATTGTTTTCATGCTCAACTTGCTTTCTGTTTAATAATGCACGAACTTAAGGTAAAGTTAATCGGGAGCGGATTAGGTCAGTAACCTTATGGTGAAATTTAATTTTTTTTGCACAGATAATAATTGTGCTCTTAAAATGATATCCACTTTGATATATTTTTAGAACAAAAAAAAATTAGTCATTTTTTACCAGTCAATATCATATGGTATGCTATTATTTAATACCATATGGTAAGAAAACATGTCATGATGGTATGAACATACCAATATGGTAGGAAGGTTGAATACATGCTAGTAGGAGTATACTAATTATCATTTATGACTTTCATCATTGTTTACCACAAGTTACCACCCACATACCATAGTGGTAAAGTATGGTAATTTTTTATCCTATATTTTTTTCACATAGAAATTTGTAGATCCAATAGATCACGATGAACTCGTTCCTTCTGAGCAAACGTTTTAAAAAACGACTTAAAAACGAAGAAGTTACCATATGGTATGTAGTTGGTAACGGGTGGTATTAAAAAAAGTTTCACGAAATATATTGAAAATTGATCTCATTTCGTAGAGCACAACGAACTCGTTCCATCTGTGCAAAAAAAAAAAAAATGAAATCCGAGTTATAACGAAGAAGATAAGAACCGATTAAAAAAACTATGAAAAATAAAATACATTTAATTCACAACCTTTAGATCTAGATTTTCTGAGCCCATTTAGATCTAAAAGTTCAAATTTAGTTACTCATAGGTCAGGGTCAGTAACCAATGGTTACTCACCGTATCCCAAGCCAAGTTACTCTACCTGGAAGGATGCTCCTTGGTGGCAACAGAAGCCCTCGAGTATGTGCTTTTAACCTTGAATGAGACTGAACATTTGATTATAGAGGAGGAATCATAATATTGCAATTATAGGGGTCTGAATGTGAGGAAGAAACGAAGTAGCGCAATAGGGATCTGGAATAAATACCGTACAATGTAGGTTTGTCTTTCCTTCCTTCTTCGTGCGATCGTCATCTCGCCAAATAAATTTCCTTGACGATTGTTTTTTGCAGGGAAGGGTGGCCGAGGGTTCAAGTGCTGGAGTTACGTTTTGAGAATTGGAAGTTTCACTGCGTAAAAGGGAATCTTTGGATTTATTGGGTCCATCAAATTTCGATGGCGCACATGTGAGTCTTCAACTTACGTGGCAGTCTGAGTTGATATAATTATTTACATTTCGAGACCTACCGTTAGCCATGCAACGAAAATGCTAACGTTGCTACCGAAATTTGACATAAGTAATTTAGTTGCGAGCATTTCTACTATGCTATATAGTATCGGTGCTTTAATGTACAATTTAAAGTTGTACCATAACATGAAATGTATAAGTTTATATTGTACCATAAAAGAATTTGTACCATTATGTTATGGTACAACTTTACAACTTTAAGTTGTACCATCACATAAATGTACAAGTTCAAGTTGTATCATAAAAGAATTTGTACAAACAATATAGGTATAGTCTAAAGTTGTACCATAACGGTAAATGTACAATTTCAAAATGTACCATAACGGCAAAAACATATAGCACCAATACTATATAGCATTGTAAAATTCCTCATTTAGTTGCAACAAAACATACTTAAGTGATAATCTTGGAACAAATTGTGAACGTAGTGTATGCAATTAACCCTAACCTAAGCGATAAAATAGCAAATCGACACTTGCCCACACCCGGAGTGAAGTTCCAGCGAGGATAGCGGCCGGCGGCGTAGACGGAGGGAAGAACAACCACCGTCGGTTTGGTTTGACACCAAGAGAAGGAAGCCTCGGCAACGAGGACGGCGGCTTAGGCAGATGGAAGAAGAGGTTGGAAGAGCCACAGCGAAGGGAAGACCAACCGGCGACCAGGACGACCGACGGTGACGAGTACGACAGGCCGAGACGCGTACAGCCGGCGGTGAGTAGGACTACAGGGGGCGACAAGGAAGCACAGTTTGGGCAGTCGGCAGAAGACCTCTATTCAGTTCCCAGGATCAAGTAATGTTCTGAATTTCTGATTGGTTAAATCAATCTCGCTCATCCTCTTCCTCTCCCATTTCACAGCCCAAGCCCTAATTCTTCCTCGTTAGCTTTCTCTTCCGCTCCCTGCTAGCGATCTGACAAACTTACCATCATCCTTTTTCCTAGCAAGAAATCCTCTCTCGTGTCTCTTCAAGCTCATTCAATCGACTTAAAGACTCAGCTTCAACCTGCCGACCATGTATCTCTCAAGACAATTAAGCAACACATCTGAAACATCAATTCCGTTTCTTGGCAGCAAAATGCACCACATCACCAATCCATGCTGGTGCGCCCAGCACCCGTCCCACTGATGTTCTTCTCGAGTGAGCCAGTGTACTGGAGAAGTGAAAGAACATGGCTTTCTTCGGTCTCATGCAAACAAAATGAAAGAATTGGAATCGGATATGCAATGGCAGTAGTTCCCCTCCCTTGATTTGCGTGGTGGCCCGAAAGACTTCGACTAGTACAGCTTTCACCCGCCGATTTGGATCTCTACAACCGTACTTCCAAGTCGGCCTTTTTTTTTTTACCTCTGTTTCTCTCTGTCCCATTTGATATTGTGGTACGTTTTCTTCCGCTAGCCTCGTGTTTTGCATTATACAATTTCTTGAAACCTTAGACTTCACTGAAGCCCAGACGGTCAGTGGTCTGGATTGAGAATCGGGTGACTTCAATATGGTTCCTCAACTTCTTCGCTCTGCAATTAACCCCTCTGCCTCGTGTTTTGCATTTTACCATTTTGGTCTTCGAACTTTATGATTTATGAGTCCTCTGGTGGTGTGAAGCATCCCTGAAAGAATTATGGAACATTACCGGAGGATGGTAATAGTATGAAACTTCAGAGTCACATATGATATTACGTATTTCTTTCTTCTGTGTGAAAACTTATCCCTTGTATTGTTAGTTTGCTTTGTGTTCTGTAAAAAGGATAGATGCTTTCTTTTTCCTTGTCCTGTGTCTGTGTGGAGGAATTCGATGATTTCTTGAAATCCAAGCAATAGACCAGACTGATATATATTCCTCTAGCTAGACTGTTGTTCTTATCATACCCGAGAGAACAGAAGACACATTTCTCCTGTAAGATTAGACTACTTGTTTGCATTGTGATTGCATTCTTCAATGTTTCCTTCAGGTACATAGCTTTGTGGGACAATCCATACTGAATCTCACTAGAATTGGGCAATTATTTTAGATTTTAACTCTTATGCTAGCATCCCATCTGTAAATGGGACTGATTTAGCACAATCGGATGAAAATTTTGACATCTTTGTGTTTTTCAATGCACATTTTGTAGAAATGAACTTACGAGAAGCTTTGACGACTGTGGCGGCTTTGTTGCTTCCCGCACTGATTCTCGTCTGCAAGTGGCTATTCCGGAGGAGGAGGAGGTCCTCCAATAATAACCCCCAGCTATCAGAATCTACATGCATTATTGATTCTTCTGCTTCAACTTCAGGTTCTGATGCTTCCTTGCCCCTTCCAACTGGGGACTATGAGGTCTTTTTAAGTTTTAGGGGTCCAGACACCCGCCGTGAGATCACTGACGTCCTCTACCATTTTCTTATTCGCTCAAAAATCCGCACATTTAAACATGATGAGGATCTTCCTGTGGACGAAGGAATCTGGCCTAGTTTGGTGGAGGCCATGAAGGAATCCAGGATTTATGTTCCTATTCTTTCAGAAACATATGCTGAAAGTAAGTGGTGCCTCAAAGAGCTTGCTGAAATGGTTGAGTACCGCAAGCAAGACAAGGGGCGCATCATTTTACCCATTTTCTATAAGGTAAACCCTAGAGACGTGCGGAAACAGAGTGGGGCTTATGAAGAAGCATTTAAGCGACATATGAAGAATTTTGATGATAAAACCTTGCAAATTTGGAAAGATGCTCTCAAGGATGTTGGAGAATTGAAAGGGTGGCATGTAACAGACAAAGACGGGTACTTACTTGAATACTTGCCTTCTTTTCTTAATTGTGAAATGGTAAACCTTAGAATTTTTCAATATTGACCTTAAAACTTGATTTGAAGCTAGGTTTTCTCTTTTGATATGTTTTCAATCCTTTATTGGTTACCATTTTATAAGGTGACTACCACTTACCCCTTGTAATCATGTTCCACGAAGGTTATGAGCTCTCTGATTCCATAGCTTTAGGGTTTGGAAATTTATTTGACAGCTTATACTTTTCCTTGTTACATCCCTCGTATGGCATTTACATCCAGTTCATATTTTTCAGGCAAGGGGCTATAGCTGATGAAGTTTTTGACAACATATGGTCAAATCTAAGTGAGAATTATGAATTAATGACAGATGAATTGGTTGGAATTGATGCGCACTTGAAAGCAGTAGTTGAAAGACTAGATTTAAACTCTAAAGCTGTGGCAACTGTTGGCATTCACGGCCTTGGTGGTATCGGCAAGACCACTGTTGCAACTGCTGTCTACAATAAAGTTTGTGCTCACTTTGATCGTCACTACTTTGTGGAAGATGTAAGAGAAACATTGCAACGGAGGGATGGTATCGTTGCTCTGCAAAATAAGATAATCTCCGGCATTGCGAAAAAGGCAACTCCTGTATCTAATGTTAGTGAAGGAATCCGGATGATAAGAGATAGAGTTAGCCATTACAAGGTTCTTATTGTTCTTGATGATGTAGATGACAAGTTCAAATTTGATGGCATCTTGGGAAATTCTGAAAACTTCGTTTCTGGCAGTAGGTTTATTGTTACTTCTAGAAATATTAAGGTTCTGACTTTACTCGAAGGATGTCGGCTATATGAAGTCGGAGAAATGAGCTATGAACACTCCTTTGAACTTTTCTGCAAACATGCATTTAGAAAGGATTCTGCTCCACGTGATTATGCAGCTTTGTCTAGAGACATTGTATCAACAACAGGAGGACTTCCACTGACTATTAAGGTTGTAGGATCACTTCTGTTTAAAGAAGATAGAGCAGTTTGGGAAGAAACATTGCTGCGGTTAAGAGAAACACCAGAGACAGAGGTCTTAGACCGGTTAAAGATAAGTTATGATACATTGGACGATGAGGCAAAACAGATATTTCTTGACATTGCCTGTTTCTGTGTTGGAACTGATAAAGAAAAAGCTTCTTACATGTGGAGTGATTGTAAGTTTTATCCCATCAGTAGTATTAATGTTCTTGTCCAAAGATCCATAATCAAGATCAGAGATAATAATGAGTTCAGCATGCATGATCAACTTAGAGACCTGGGTAAAGCAATTATCCGGGAGGAAGATATGGAACATCCATGGATGAGAAGTAGAATATGGTCCGATGAGGATGCTTTGGAGCTATTACTTGGCAAAAAGGTACTCTTCACATTCTAGTATTTGCATTTATGAACTATTCTTCTCTGTAACACACAGAAGTCTTACCATGAATGTTCTTTAGTTGGCAACATTTTGAGATTGGTTATGCCCTCATATATTACCTCTCCGTACAGTTCACTATAAATGTACTTAAATGAGGTGTATGGTTGGTTTCTTAAATGGAATTTTTCATAGAGAACCCATTTGCTGTAAGAACATCTTCCCTAAATTATGTACTGGGACCTGCTATTTATTTACCCTCCGTCTTGCAGTGTTGCTGAGTACCTAACTTACAGTTTTGAACTTCTTCTAACTGTAATTTTGGCATTCAACTCAACCTTGCCTGCTTTTACAGGGAACAGATAAAGTTAAAGCTCTGCGAGTAAATTCTTCATCTCCTGAGACATGTCAGCTAACAAATGAGCATTTTAGGAACTTGTCTAATTTGAGATACTTCGATGGAAATTCTACGGAGTTTACTGGAGACTTCAGTGATCTTCTTGATAATTTAAGATGGCTTCAGTTGCAATACCATGCAGATTCAGGTGACCAATTGACCAATTTTCACCTGAATAAATTGATCATTCTTGATCTCCGTGGGAGCGATATCACAGATGATTGGGGAGGGTGGACTCATATAAAGGTTAGCTAGGTGACTCATGAATTTGATTGGTCTTTTTTTTTTTTTGTTGTTGCTGTGTTTGATGACATCACTTGCCACTTTCTATGCAGATGGCAGCAAAGCTAAAAGTTCTGGACCTCGCATATTGTCGTTACATAACAAAACTTCCTGACCTTTCCACACATGGGAGCCTCGAGCATTTACACTTTTATGCATTGAGAGGGTCCACTCAAGACCTGGACCTTGGCAATTTGAGGAACATAAAGGTTTTGAATCTTGAGAATTGCAGAATCAGGAAGATAGTGGGGGTTAGTATTGGAATCCTTCAGGGGCTTCGGGAGCTAAATATCAGCTCGTGCAAGTGCGAGAACTTGGGACAAGTTCTCTTCGACATAGTGACCCTGCCATCTCTGAAGATCCTCAGAGCAATTAAAGTGAAGGAAGAAAATGCAATGGAACTTCCGAAAAGTTTGAAGGAGCTAAGCACCTCTGTCTCGGTCTCTAATCTTCCAGAACTGACAAACTTAGAGCAATTTACATTTGAGTATTGTGAAGATTCTAAGCTTGAAATCTCAGGCAGAGGAGAAGAGTGGTTGAAGCTGTCAAAGTTGACGTCTTTGGTAGTGAAGTATGGAACCAACATTATGACCATTGGCCCTCTTTCGCTCCCCCCATCACTAACAGAGCTTCATGTCTCCGTTTGCCCCAAACTAGAGAGGCTGCCAAAGTTGGACAATCTGGAAAATTTGACTGAACTCATCCTCTACAGATGTCCCAAGCTTCGGGAGATTGAAGGCCTCGGAGGAACCCTGAAGTCATTGCAAAGTCTGAAGATAGATTATTGTGAGAGTTTGATTCACATCAACGGCCTCGAAGACCTCGTCTCTTTGACCGACTTGCACTTTGAATCTCTGGATGCATTGGAGAGACTCCCCATCATCAATCTAGCTTCTCTGAACAGGCTGAGTAAGGTTGAGATCCTGCGTTGCCCTCTTCTCACTGAGATATTATTTCGAGGTCCTGAGGAAGATGGAGGCCAAGTACGACACGACTCTTTAACAGAACTTAATGTTGGTGCATGCACATTGCTGCAAGGGCTACCTAATCTGTCAAAGTTTCCAAATTTGAGGAAGTTGAACGTTTGGGATATGAAGGGTATAGCTAACTTGGAGGGTCTGGAATATCTGGAGGATTTAAGAGTATTGGAGCTTTTTGACTTGCCGTCAGTGGGTACATTACCTTGTCTGTCCAAGCTGAGGAAATTAGTGATGTTGGTAGCTGCAGATATGCACCGACTGTGTGAGATTCAGGGCCTTCAGGATTTGGAATCATTGGAGCAGCTAGTCATTCCTGGATGCACGTCGCTGGAGAGACTGCCGGATTTGTCTGGTCTAAAAAACCTGACAGTGGTGAACATCCGAGAATGCTGGAAGTTGACTGACCTTTCTGGTCTCAACAGTCTGCAGGGTGTAGTCATAGACTGGCCACAGTAAAGATAAGATAATCTTGTGATGTAACCTGAAATTGTACCATATGTAGTATACTGATTGTTTTTTTTTTTTTTATGTTTGTTTGTCTTCCAATTCAATGTTTGTGTCTTAAACTTCTTTATTAGCACTCTCTCTCCTATGATAACTTGTCAGTTTATCACTTCTGACTGCTAATATGTAAAGTAATTAAGGGTTCCCAAATTATCAACTTGTCTCTAGCTGTTAAACGATCCAGTGTATCCAATAAGGCAAAAGTAGAGTCTTTTGTAGGGAAAAATCCTAGAATACGTAAAAAAAATTCTCAAAATACAGTACTTATGAAAATATTTCTCAAAATACAATAGTTTGGACATCACCGCTGCAGACGAAGACAATGAATATCATCACCGTTTTTGTAAAAAACAGTGAACCCTTCACCGCTGTCGTCCAAAACGGGGAACCCTTCACCGTTGTCGTCCAAAACGGGGATTTTTTCCCCACGTTTTACAACCCTAGTAGGTTGGAAGTTAGGTAACAGCGACCTAGCATTCACCGTCTTGGTCAAAAGCGGTGATGGTTCACCACTATTGTCAAGCGCGATGATTAGGCCCCAAAAATTTCTATAAAAACCCAGCCCTTAGATTTCTCCAGCTACCTTACAGAAATTCAGTACGAAATTAGTGCCTTTTTGGTCCTTTTCTCAGTTGGCTTACAGCAACAAGAAATTCACCGGGATTCGGTATGCTATAATTATGTATTGTTTACATGTTGATGTATTAGTAATTATATGTATGTATTTAGTGAATTTCGGTTATTGGCAAATATGTTATGTTAGAGATATTTAGATGAATTATGGTATGATTGATGTTAGTTAGTTATGAATTTAGATGAATTTGGATAGTTTTCTCATGATAGATCAGTTAGTTGCGGTTGTTAATGGGTTTGGATGATATTATTTTTTATCCCTAATGTACTAATTATACTATAGTAATCTTATTCGAGTTAAGCTAATAGTTACTTATTGTAATTTGCAGCATGGGTAAATTTAAGAAGTTTCAACTTATTATTTGGTGGAATGGTCGGGTGACAAACTCCGACTTTGGGATCGACTATGAAAATGGCGAATCCACTATGCTAAAAATTGAGTCGAGATTCACGTGGCAAGAACTACGTGACATTTGTGCAGAAAGGACTTGTATGGATGGGCAAAGAAGAGTTGGTCAAATTACTTACCGGTATCCAAACATGAGTGCTGGCGGAGTTATGTACGAAGAAGTTGTCATAAATGATGATGACGCGGTGAACATGATGATACAGTTCCTATCTGACAACGGGATGCGGCTTGCAGAAGTGTATGTCAAGACCGAGCCGGTCGGTGAAACTCATTTTCACCAATATTCTTGTGATGATGGTTTTGCAGGAGGGTACGGCTGGGGTGGTAGTTCAAGTAACATTGGAGGAGGTAGTTCTGCAGGAGGCTACGACTGGGGTGGAGGTCCAAGCAACTACGGAGGAGGTAATTATGCAGGAGGTGTTGGGTGGGAAGAGTACCCGCAAAATGCTGAGACTTCCCCATTCGTTGAGCCCGACGGTGATCAATGGCCTGCTTGGGGGTCAGAGTGGGCTGACATTGAGAACCACCTTCGAACTGGGCGTACTTCACATGACCGAGAAGATGAGGTTGGTTATGTTGGTAACGATGATCCTCCTGAGCCGAGCTATCCATTCGCCTCCAGCGACGAGGAAAATGAGGAAGATTTGAGATCAGGCAGTGAGGATGAAGATACGAACGATATCGAGGAGAGCGAGGTGGCATTCCGTGAGGCACCAACGCCTTACTACACAGAGGTTTCATCTCAACTTTTATATAGTCAGAACGATCCCCCTGACTTTCAGCCTATGCCTGTGTATAATCCAATTGCCAATTTGGAGGTGGGTATGGCGGTCATTTCGAAAGTTGATGTTCAATATGCTTTTATCGAAGAAGCCATGCGGTGCAATTTCGAATGGAAGGTAAAATATTCTGACACCAAACAACTGCATGTCATTTGCAAAAATGCTGGAGAGGGTTGTTTGTGGCAACTGCGGGCTGAAAATATGAAGAGAAAGGGTGCCTGGGTCATTCGGACAGCAGAGAACAACCACAGCTGCTCCTCAAACATACTGTCCTAGGATCACCGGCAACTGAAAGCAAAGAAAGTGGCAAGAACCATTAAGCACTTGATTGAGGCACAACCATATATTAAAATCAAAGCTATCATGACCGAGGTGAAGGATCGACACTCCTAAACGATCAAGTATAAGAAGGCGTGGCATGGGAAGCAGAAGGCCATGGCTGAGGTATATGGTGATTGGGACGACTCATATGCTTTACTCCCTAGATTAATGGCCGCAGTGGAGGAGTCCAACCCTGGGACTGTTTTCGTGCCCTGTTACAACAATGTATACACTGAGGATCAAGTTCGAGTACAGAACGAGTTGATGTTTCATCGTCTGTTCTGGACCTTCAAGCCATGCATTGATGGTTTTGCTTTCTGCATGCCAGTTATCCAGGTATATTACGGTCTAAACAATGTTGTTGTGTTTTTTTTACTAAGTAATATTTATACTAACTATAAATAATTTTAACAGGTTGATGGAACATTCCTTACTGGGAAGTATAAAGGAACTCTTCTCATTGCCACTGGCGTTGATGGAAATTTAAGTATATTCCCCCTGGCGTTTGCATTACTTGAAGGGGAGAACAACTTAAGTTGGGCATGGTTCTTTGACATGCTACACCACCACTTCACACAAAGAATGGGTGTTACAATTATATCTGATCGACATGTCGGGATTAAGCACGCCGTGAATGGTTTTCCCGACGAATGGGGGTGGACATGGCGCTGGTGTATTCGACACTTTCTTGCAAATTTCCAGCACAAGTTTGGGAAGAAGAAAGACATAAGAGATCAATTGTGGAGTGCATGTACTAATGTAATTCTGTGCTTGTTCATGGTTTACTTTTCATATGAAATTTCTCATGTCTTAATTATTTATTCTGTGGTCTTGAAGCGGTTGCACATCAACCAAAAAAATGAGCAGAAGATGAAGGCGATCTGTCAGATACACCGGGCTGGTGCAGTTTGGGCAGAAGGTAAAGATCTGCACATGTGGACATTCCACATGGACAACAGGGCTAGATTCGACATTGCAACTACCAACCATGGCGAGAGCATAAATGGAGTCTACAAGGGCGTTAGGGAAATGCATGTATCTGTCCTAGTGGAAATGACGTACTGGAAGGTAAACGAGTGGTTTGTGAAGCGACTTTAGCAAGTTATAGGGAGGGAGCGTGCTGGTCATGCAATAGCACTTCATGTCGAACAGGACATGCAGAAGAAGGAGGAGAAATCAAGTAAGCACAGAGTTGTTCTTTGCAACCGCAATGAAGGTGTTTTTGCTGTTCAAATAGGTATCTGGGGAGGAGGTAGACATGGGCACAATTGTCAATCTGTTACTCTACACGTAGAAACTCGCACCGGTGAGTGTACATTGCCAAAAGTACCAAAACACAAGAATCCCATGTTCACATGCAATGGCAGTATCTAAGTCAACAACCCTTAGCCCTTACAGTTTGGTGAGTCCTTACTTCACCGAACAAGAGATCAAGAACTCGTACTCGTGCAGTTTCACCCCCCTTCCAGATGAAGCTTATTGGCATGTAGACAATGGGAAGTTGATAATCCCACCGTTGCACTTAAAGCGCACCAAGGGTCGTCCTTGAACCCAAAGGATTCACAATGAGATGGATCAAGCACAACGTGCCAGGCGAGGTCCTAAGAGTTGCTCAAAATGCAGACAACCGGGACATGACAAGAGGCGTTGCCCAGGTCCACCTATCAAGCAAGATTCAGGCACAAATCCGAACCAACCATGAGGTTGTTGTATGTTCGAGTGATTTAGTTGTAATGGTTTTTAAGTTGGAGTTCTAGTATTAATCTTGTTGAGTGATTGTAATGATGATGGATTTGTGCTTTGACTTGGTACAACATTTATTTTTAAACGACATGGATAGTGTAACGAAAACAAACATGACATAACTAACCATGGTAGTTTAATGAAAACACACAATAGAGCACATGACATAACTTGACAATGGATAGTTTAATGAAAACACACAATAGAGAATAAGACGACATGGATAGTTTAATGAAAACACACAAGACATAAATAAACAAAGATCAAATGGATAGTTCACTGGTCTCCTTCATTTTCTCTCCCTCGTCCTCGTCCTCCATGGCAACCTCGACCCCTTCTTCCTCCTTCTCTGCCTCTTGCTTCTTCGCGAGCCTGTTGGACGACTGCTCGCGGATGCCTCTTAATCCAACGTCCGACCGGAGTATCGGTGGAGGCACAGATGGCTAAGATGGACCAGAAGTGTGGTAGTAGGCAGAAGATGTGCGCTGAGATGTGGGCTGAGATGTGGGCAGAGGAGGTGGTGTCTGAAAAATCGAGGTCTGTTTGCTGATGGTGGAAATGAGGGAACCCTTGATGAACATGTCATATTCCTGTTGCGGGGCATAAATTGACGATCCTGGAGCGCCTTCCATTGTAGTTGACCACTCATGATCTGGCTATGGGCCAGGCAGTTGTGTTTGCTGAGTCGAACGGAGTTTTTCAATGTTTGGCTGGGCTCTTTTCTTACTCCTCCGTGGGGGCTCAGCTGGGGGCATAATGGGCTCATCATCACGGAAAGAAGGTCGAGGCGGAGCAGGCACCGGAGGGTATACGATGACATCCCTCCTTTGCTCTCGCGTACAACTGAGCAGGTTGTTAAAAAGCCTTCGTATGAAAGATGTCTTCCGCTCGTCCATGGTAGGTGCACTCTCGACAGTGTGCTTGGCATGTTCCAAGCCATCAACCTAATACAAATAATTAGAAAATGCAATAAATTAATATAATCAAGTTAATTGCCATGACTCAAATCTAAGCATGTAATCTAGGGACAAAAGCATAAAAATATGACGAAGATTAAGAATTGGAAACACTTACCACCTCTCCCCACACAGCACCTTTCTTTGACACCCATCTAAGTGTGAATTTCCGATACCACACCATGTATCCATCGTGGTACCCCATTGGCCTCGTCTCCGGTAAACCTTGGACAACCCAAGTCGTTCTATTCTCCCAAATGTTGATGTAGAACTCATGCTTGCGGATCCAATTCTTTGATTTGTGTCGTAGGCCGATGGCATAGAGCTCTTTGAACCCTTGAGTTGGGAATGCTGGAATTGGTTGCTCCATCCGATTTTGCCTCAATGCTCGATCCGGCAGGTGCCACTCCACCATGTGCCAACAGATCAAGGGCACCTTGCACAACCACGTCTCTATATCCTGGGGGTGTCTAAGACGATGAATCTCGACGACTTGAGGTGGATATGGATCCCATGTCACCTACACTCATTAATGATTTGGATGTAGTACAAATTGCAACCTAATCCATTAAAAGATTTTAAAATGATCCAATTTGACATTTTTACCTGGTTCCACCAAGGCTTATCAAACTCAGCACGATAAAACATTAAGGAGTGCTCGGGCTGGTGGTCATTTGTATTTGCTCCGATCCACCTTATTAAGAAAAAGTACATATATAATATATTTTAAAAGAATATATGCGTTGCTATGCATGTGAGAATTCACTAAATTAGCTAAATTGCATACTTGGAATGAATCTAAATTCGCTAAATTGCATACTTGGACTGTATCTAAATTCACTAAATTCACAAAAATACTAAAATTGTATAATTGGATTGTATCTAAATTCACTAAATTCACTAAAATATTAAAATTGCATACTTGGATTGTATCTAAATTCACTAAATTCGCTAAATTCTCTAAATTGACTAAAATACTAAAATTGCATATTTGGAATAAAATTAGCATGTAAATTAATCTTACTTGACCCATAGGGGGGATTTTCTAGAAAGCGTAGCTCCTCATCTGGACCCCAAAATTCCCGTGGGTCTCGGGGAGCGAACATTGGAAGATGCTCCCATGCCCAGAGTTGGAGTATGAACATCGCACCTCCAGCTTGTTTCGCTCCCAACCTCGAGCAAGTACACATCTCTTGGTAGATCCCAGCAAATACGGCCGACCACCAACTCTTTCCCCCGATCTCGTCCCAATCACCGAGGAGCAACGAAAACCACATGCCTTGAATCCAACAGTTTGCCTTGTCGGGGAACAGAAATCCACCAACCAATCCAATGAGGTAGACGCGTGCATATCTCTCCACCTGATCTTTGGGGTGTCTGGGCCTAAATTAACTTCCTGTTGGATGTGTTCAACAAGCCACGGGATTGAAACTTGCCCCGCATTGAGCGGTGGATGCCCAACGCCTTGAACGGGCGTTGTGGTCGGCATGTTGAACCCCAAACGCTCGAGAATCAACGGCCCCCAACCACCTTCGGGTTTACTTGAGTTTCCGATGATGGCCTCTCCAGTGACTGGCAGCCCGGTGAGTAGGGCAACATCTCTGATGGTGATCGTCATTTCCCCATCGGGAAAGTGGAAGGTATGCACTTCGGGGCGCCATCGGTCTGCCATTGCGGTAAGCAGATCATTGTCGATATCAAGCCGCATGAAATGCCTCAGCATGTGCAATCCCATCCTCTATAGATAGGGCTCGAGACGAGGATGCCAATTAGGCAATCGACATGTCCCTCGATGACTGATGGGAATAAGTGATTCCTACAAAACAAAACAAAAAATACGGAAAAAAAACAAAACAAAAACTTTTAACCTATTGAAATAATTTAAAAATTTATACGGTACAAACAGAGTGTCTACCGGATTATTGTCCCAAATTGCATGGGAGCGATGTTGTTCTTGCTCGTTTGAATATTTGCGATCCCTTGGGCCAGGATCGATATACAAACGAGGGTCGTATATCTCAGCACCCATCTATAAACAAATATGAAATGAAATTATAATATTTCAATTCCATTTAAATAAACATCAACAAAGGTGGAAATTTTTTTTCGTACTCTTAGAGCCTCTTCGTCCATTTTTTACCGAAAAGCTGGAGAGAGTATCGACGAAACTTTAGAGCAAAGTATTTAAAACAAAATAAAAACTCTAGTAATTCTTTTTGATGTGGAAGATCGGACTTAACCGCAACCACAGAGCATACTTAAAACGAGACTAGAGGGAAGTAATGGAGGGAGAAAGAAGTATAAAATTGGTGGTGTGGGTTGGAATGAGGGGGGATGGGGTGGTATTTATAAGGAGGACCACAGAGCATTCCCCCGCTCTGGTCCACGACGGTGATGCATTCCCTGCGATTCTCGAGGGCGGTGAAATGCGTGGATCGCTGACGTGGCTTGGTTTGAGGCGTTGGATCTGGGAGAAAAACCAGAATCCGCGCCTCACCGCATCTGACGGTGAAGCGCGCGGACGACAAGGATCGATGACGTGGACAGCGCGGGCTATCACCGCTTTTGTGATTAACGGTGAAGTGCCCGCGCGTGTCCACGTCAGCGATCCGCGCCACTTCCCCGTTTTGGACGACAGCGGTGAAGGGTTCACCAGTTTTGTTTGCATCGGTGATGACATTCACTGTCTTGGTCTGCAGAGGTGATGCCCAAAGTGCTGTATTTTGGGAAATTTTTCATAAGTACTGTATTTTGGGATTTTTTTTACTAACTAGTGTATTCTGGGATTTTTTTCCCTTTTGTAGAGAGAGTAATACTCAAATGAGTGTGAAACAAAGAGAAACGACCTATGTTGGCAACGTGTGTAATGACCTGGATATGCTAGGACTTAATTGTAGGATATAGAAGTAGGAGGACTAAAACAAACATTTGTAATTGGCTATAAGCATGTGTTTTAATCGTGTGGAATTTTTTTTTTTTTTTTTTACAAAAGATAATCAAATTGATTCAAGAACAAATAGTTTCACCCTGGAAATCAGCCCGGCCTGAAAATCAAAGAAACGGCTCGTAGCCGGTACAAAGACAGGGCTTCTCTAGCCACCAAATGGGCTACCATATTGTTACTCCGACCTACAAACCGCACACTAAACCCAGAATGGGCTGCTAAGAGATTGACAACTTCCTGAAGAATCGCCCCCATCTGGTTATCTCTTGTGCCCGCCCGATTGATCTTATCAATAATGACTTTGACATCGCCTTCAAATTTCATTTCTGCGAATCCCAGGCCCTGGCACCACCGAATGGCCTCCCTTAGAACCAGAAGCTCGCCTACCAGGGGCGCATCAAATACAATCTACAGAAATTGCTTCCTACTTCCCTATCTCTTCTCTTCTTCCTTCCTCTGCTCTGTCTCTGTTCTTCTCCTTCTTCTAATCATCTTCTCCAATTTTCCTTTATTTTCTCAAACCCTTCTATTCTTCTCTTCAATTACCAATTGTTGATCCTCAATCGCCAAGAATTGATCCAGCAGCACTCCGGAACGCTACAAATTGGTATCAGAGCCTCTTCTTGGCAACCGTGGCGACTGCAACACGTTGGGACAACAGTGAAGGACGATTTGCAAAGGCAACACGTTGGGATGGTAGTGAAGGTCAATTTGACCCCGATTTGCTGAGTTTTCCGGAGCGGTGTAGGTCTGGTTTTGTGGCCGCAGTTACCGATGGGGAGGAGCCTCTAGCTGGCTGGCTGGAACTCTGCTGAAATCACCCGCCCACCATATGTTCGACGAATTGACGAGCAGAAGGTTTCGACGACGAAGACTCATTTTCCTGGGGTAGTTTCTTCTACCGTCATTCCAGCTCGTAAGTGTTCCAAACATCTCCCTACCGCAACTGGAATTCACAGCCTACTGGACGATAATTCTCCATCTACTCAACTTTTGGAGTTTCCCTCTTTCGTCAATGAGTTTAACGAGCTTAGGCAGCAAGGGTCTTTGTTAGGGTATAAAGCACAGTTTGAGGAATTGAAACCACTGATGGCTCGATTTAGTCCTACATTGGATGAGGAGTTTTTCATTTCGCGGTTTATCAGTGGTTTAGCGGAAGAGCTACAGCCAGTTCTGTCCATATTCTAGCCCTATATTCGAACATTAGCTCAACCCTACAATCGAGCTCAATGGGAAGAAGATGTCATTGCGGCCTGCAAATTACAGCTTGGCGAGCTTGGTGATTTCGTAGGTTTGGAAGTAGAACAAGATAATGTCAAGTTGATTTAAGCGGTGGTAGGTGTAAATATGGAGAATGTAGGCAGTGGGGAAGCGGCAGAGACTAACGGTTCATATTCAGAAGTGAGTACGGTGAGTGTATATGGGCATGTTTTGCCCTCCCTTGTTTCAACCTCGAAAGACTATACTTGGAAGGGTGACTTAGCTGTTGATAATGGGGTATTACAGCAAGCAGTGATGGGGGCTTGGCAACAGCTACAACAACAAATGAAGATGTTGTACTAATTGAGAAGGCCTTAGAAACGTGTCATTCGCAGTTGAAGCAGATTAAAGCCAACATAATTGCTGTTGTTGAGTACAAGGACACAACTCCTTACCTTACAGTCTTGGACCCAATGGGAATTGTCATAACAATTGTAGTGTCTCCTAGTAGCATAGAATCATAATCGAACTTGAAGAAGTCGAACTTGGAAAAGAACGAACCCAATGTTGAAGGTGAGGTATTGATTGCAAAAGCTTATGATGTCAATGGCTGTTTCACTATGATGTCAACATCTCATGTGGCTGCCAATGCTAAGGCTATTGTTGGGAAAACCATTGATTTCATTTTTTGTCCAGGTGATGATGATTTTAGGACTATGGTTGTCATTGTGAACTGCTGCAACTCCAATAAGGGATATAATTTCACATCTGAATCAGTGGATTGCAGGGGAAAACTACGGCATGGCAGCTGGAATTATAAGTATCGGGTTATCCCACTTATTATGGTGTTTAGGTCATTTATTGTGGCAGGAATAGTAGTCCTGATTTCAAAGAGCCATATAAGGATGATGCTCTAAGAGGCAGTGGGCATGGAGCTGTTTGTGATATCTATGAGATTAAGTGTGCAGGGTGTTGTGATTTTGTTCAAACTATTGCGAGAGTTCCAGTCTTGGATTCAAGAAGGGTTGTGGTACTGATGTCTTCTCTTGGCGGGGTCAATGGTCCTTGTGTTTGGACTCTTCCGTGGAGATGTATTTAAGTTGAATGGTTCTGTCCATAGGTATGTAGTTGTTGTCCATTAGATGTTCCCTTCGCTTTTGGTTGTTTTCATAAGGCTTGAGGACAAGCCTATTCCCAAGGAGTGGGGATTGTAATGACCTGGATATGCTAGGACTTAATTGTAAGAGATAGAAGTAGGAGGACTAAAACAAACATTTGTAATTGGCTATAAAACCTGTGTTTTAATCGTGTGGAAGGTTATCGAATACAATCTACAGAAATTGCTTCCTACTTCCTTCCTTCCTCTGCTCTGTCTCTGTTCTTCTTCTCCTTCTTCTAATCTTCTTCTTCAATTCTCCTTTCTCTTCTCAAACCCTTCTATTCTTATCTTCAATTCCCAATTGTTGATCCTCAATCACCAAGAATTGATCCAACAGCACTTTGGAACGCTATAGCGTGAAGGGCCATATTTGCTTCATAGAGATTTGGCCACCATGCTTAATCCAAGTACATGAAAAAGTGGCGGAATCGAAATCTTTTGGAGTTTCTCCCATGTACATGAATTGTTTGTGTTAAGAAGTGTCAACCTTTTTTTTTTTTCTGAGATATAACAAGATATAACATTAGAAAATAACATTTCTTTCTAAGAGAAACACAATGCATTATTCATTCCATGCTACCTTGACTTGACTAGCAAACTTAAGAGGACTTCCCTATCAAACTGGATTTTACATTTCTGCTACCCTAGCTAAGAGTCACATGTTTATTATTGTTACTAGGTGCTACTTCATGTTTCACCCTTGTGAAGAAAAAAAAAGACCAAGTTTCTTATTTGATCTTTCATTCTTGCTCATCCCTTTCTCTCAACCTCAAATAAAAAGACACTAGTGAAATTTCACTCTCAATCCAAAAGGTTGGAAGTGGCCTCATAACCTATGGAACCATATGATAGGTTCATTCATCTTTGTCCTATACTTTCTTTGATTTTCAATTATTCTCTATTTCTCTTCTCTTTTCCATCTTAATTGAATGTCTAGGATAAATTAGAAGTTTATTTTGATTTGTCGGGCTGAAACATAAGTATGTTCCTATCTCTTTGTTATTTTTCATTCATAGGTTTTCTAAGTATTAGTTGTCGAGCTCCAAATCCAACATATTCTTCTTTCTACAATAGTATGCATATCACCTTCCTCTGATCCATAGTCTCGTTGGTGAATGATTTCAAACTACAACATTTTGGTGATATTTTTGTTGCTTTTACAATTGTCTTAGGGTACATTTTGCTAAATCATTCATATAAAACATTTACATTGCTAAATCAACTTGCCGTGAAGCGCAAGCGAGCGGGCCATAACTCGTGTTTGTTAATCGAAAATCTTTTGTAAATCGAAAGTCTATGCATTTTAATTGATTCGGATTAATGATCTATATGGATGAGATATTCAACTATATAATACACACTAGCTTTTGACCCGGCTTGTTGGCCGGATTACTATAAGTTACTAACTCGTGGAACGAGAGAGACTTAGAGCGGAAGAGCATATATTTCCAGAGAATTGTATATTCAAAATATTAATAAAGCATTAGTATATAAATTTATTAAAAATTATTAAAAATACTAACAAATTTTAGACCAATATATACATCTAAATCAAGATAAAACAACATCTCTTATTTTTTTAATTCAACATATACATCCAAATCAAGAAGAAAATAACAAAGTTTAATAGCTAATGCGAACAATTTGTTATCAATTTTATATATAAAATTATCTAAATCCAATTTGTATTTATTTATAAAATAAAAAATTACACATTTTCCCCTCGCATCTCAACCTCTAAGGTTTTCCCAAATGGAATCCTAATAATCCACTGCATGGTCATGCTGTTTCTCATCATCTTCTTATTTTTTCTGGCCATTGACCGTCAATTCTTAGTTCCCTTACACCAAAAGGGTATCATCTACAAAGATCCAAGATTCTAATAATTAAAATTCTTGCACCAGTCCAAACAACCTCTAAATCAGTGGCTCAATAATCTCACCGAATCTATATTTTCCAATTTAGTCCCGAGCTCTTAATCCGGATGAGTTCACATCACATGTTAAGATCCTGAATTCTATAGATTTTTAGTTGATCGCTGGTGATTGACATATAATTGGTTTGTTAATATGAGCCCTACAGAGAGATTGTATTGTCATCTATTATTCTCTGTCCTTAGTCTCACCCGTCATATGTATGACTATCTCTGATAAAACAACCGAACCGATCGTTGTCTTTTAGTCGCATCTATTAATTCGCGAATGTTTTTTTTTTTAATTCCTCTGAGTTCGTATTTTTCTGCTCTAAAGTAGGAGCACCAACCATGTCAATCAAATTGTGTGGCTTAAGGATTACGTAATGTTAGAAAATGTGTAAATAATTTTAATAAAAATGAATTATTTTTAAATCAAATAGCTATAGATAAACAAGCTACTCGTTCTAATATCAATGTAAAAGACACTCGATAAATGACTCATTACTCGACTTTGGCTACCTGATGAAATACTAAATTTCAATCAACTACGACTAATAGCTAAAGATTGTGAAACCGTACAGGAGGTTATACTTGAAAAGTCAATGATAGAGTATTTTATACTAAAACCTTGGTTTAATTGTAGTTCAACTATTTACTACTGTTAAAACTGTCTACCATTTTGATCGGGTATCCGGTATTTTTGGTCGTACCGTTCTCTATGGTAAGGTTTCTAAAACATTGATAATAGCACAAATAATAAGTATACTTCTGGTTGGGTCCAATAAGCAAAAGCCGGACCCGGCCAGCAATCCAATAAACCAGGTCCCGCAAAAAATCTCGATTGCTCATTCTGCCCCAAACAGTTAAATAAGACCCAGCATGCACCTAGATATGGGAAGGCGCACTCAACGACAACACCAAAGAGAAAATTGTCCACATTGTAGGGAAGAAACTATTGAACCAAAAGACGAGGTCGCTCCGCTTCGTAGACAAGGCTCGTTCCGTACTTGACTTACGAGCTCGTGTAGTAGTCCCCCCTATCTCTATCTCTAAAGGGGCTTATGCGAGATCTGCTCACTTCCACACCGACTCAATAACGTAATCCTCTCGAAAGGGGTTTGAAAGCTTCGCATAACCCCTATGAGCGACTACGCCTTTCTTTATATGTTTTGGCCACGTCTGTTTCCGCTCCGAAAATGATTCGGGGGCAAAAAAAAGAAGGTTGTTCAAATGGCTTCTTTTTGGCACAAAAAGGCTCACGAAAGCTTTCCCCGATGCACAGACGAGGCCACACGACAATCTTGTTTGTCATACTAATGCTCAAACATATTAGGTAAGACCACTTAAAAGGTCAAACAGAGTGTCATAAACAAATATGCACCCGAACCATTATTGAATGTGCTCAGAGTGCCTTGATATGATTTGATGTGTGCGGACATAGCATTAATGATGTTTAACATGATTTGCCCAGTATAAATAGTGTCAACATTACCAGAGAGGGAGTATATTAATAAGCAATTTCCACTAACAATCAACCTGAAATATGGTTGGCCGCCTATGCCTGGACTCCTCTTTCTCTCTCTATCTATTTTCCTCATATCTTTCTTGATACTCTCCCTTCTAAACTATCATAATCAATTACCAAACATCAATCACCTACTCTCCCTCTAACCCAAACCATTTCGAACCATCTTAGCTTGAGATTAATTTTAGTGGCTTCTAACCTAAACAAACTGTCGACCCCATCAAACGAGATTAAACACTTATAAATCACACAAAAAGATTTCAAACATCATAAATAGTATGATTTATGAATAAAATAATTACTATAAATGATAAAAATAAAACTTGTTCAACCAATCTAGTGAGTATAGACTTAATTCATGGCTTAAACCATTTTATCTATTTAACGCATCAAAATGCATAATCATATCAATCTTCACTCATTTACAAGTATTTGTCGTACAAATCTAACAGATCAAAAAATGGTTTTGAACCAGCATATCAAACTCAATCTTGTCGAATGATTGTTGGATTCAATAATGTCAGATTAGCAAAAGGTTTAACCCTAGTTGTTAAGAGGGTTGAAAATAAATATTATTTTAAAAATTCTAAATTACTTACCCACATTCTATACTCAAACTCAATATTCAATATAATCTCGAACTAATGATATATGAGCTGCACTTTTGAGATATCCTCCATTTATAAGATAGATAAAATTTTAAATAAAGTAAGAAACCCCATTAAAAGTAAGCAAAATACGAATTGAAGTATCAAACACCAAATCAACAATTTCTTAGGAGATGGAATCCAAAAGAGGTCGCATCTAGGGGTGAGCAATGTGTGGTTTTACGCGGATTTGAGTGAGTTTATAACCAGCCACTACGTGGTGGGTGAAAGATAAAATGACCCACACCCACCCAAGCATTACAGATGGTTGGGTTGGGTGATTGAATATGATGGGTGGTTGGGTGGATTTGGTGGGTTTACAACATATATTTCATACACTCCCATAATTTCAATAGTTTTAAACTTAAAATGAAAGAAATTTTCAAATGAAATAACTTTTAATCCACAAATAAGGTGAATAATTTATTATATAATATTGTTTGGTAATTGTCTACAAATTACAAAATATACAACTGATAAACATGGTCTAAGCCTGATAATAAGCAAGATTCAAATAAAAGGCACTAGGCAAACGTTTTGGTATTTCCTAGCACCTCATTGCCTAGGTGTTGTGAGCGTAAATACCTTTTTATCCTATAGTCATAAATTAAAATTCCAAATTGATGGAAGGAATGAAGGACAAATTAGTGGTAGTTTGAGATGGTGTCATTGAGGAAGACAACTGTCTTTATTCTGCCATTTTGTCTACTAGTTATGCTTAAGTGTATCTCCAGTTGTCTAAGCACATCTCACAACACAATGCTTTAATAAAAAATGAGAAGAATTTTTTTGATTTTAAGGGTTTCATTTTCGGTAAAGCTATATGTTAAAGTTTTGATGGTTTGAGGTTAAAAAGTTGGGTGGGTCGTGGGTCAACCACAGTTCACCTGCACCCACCCATAGAACCACCCACATGATAATGGGTGGGTAAATTGCGGGTGGATTTATGGGTTCAACCACCCAATGCTCACCCCTAGTCGCATCTCAAGCTTTTATTTGGGGCTCTTAACCATGTTGTGGAACATAGTCTTCTTCTGCTGAATCTGACTACTTGACTTTAACACCTAAACTGAACCAAAAAAGAAGGCTAAGTTCTGAAAATTGAGGATGTATGCGAAGAAGATGAAGGAAAATATTATCCATCATAGGACAATATATGGTCACGTGGGTGGTTAATACGCGATTGATATTGATCCACCCGCAAATAACCCGACCCGCAAGTAGTGGGTGATTGATGTGAGTGGATTGCGGATTGATAATCTCTCACCGCACTTATGTGGATGAGTGGTGAGTGGATTGTGGGTCACCCGAATGACCTGCATCCTACTTTCACATGAAAAATATTGTTTCTTGTAGTACATAATATTCATCATATTCTGAACTGCACTACAATCTGACTATATATTTCTGACACGCATCCATTAGACATTGGATATTGGGATGCAATTTTTTGTTAATATCCATTAAATATTGGGATAAAAATTATGTATCATTGATTGTATCAAAATCACAAAATGCATAAGTTTATCTACACAATTGGTTGATAGAGTAGTAAATTTTTTGATGCAAATACTACATGGATTCACTTGAAACAAAGTGAGAAGTGTAAATTGATACACTCTTTCTAATTTGCTATGAACTTATTAATATTATTATTATTATTATAGTGGGAAGATCAAACAAAGGTCTAAAAAAATAGTGGGCAAAGCCACAACATCCGTATCCAACTCTCCCAACGAAGAAAAGAAAAGGGCAGAAAACCCTAACCAAATGTCGTGCACAAGTCCCGATACTTGGCACATTTTCGTTGAGCATCATCAGAAACAACTCGGCTAGACATAAAACCAGTCATCCCATTATGAGTCGAAGGTGAAGACTTAGTCAGATTGACACACACATCTTGTCCTTATGCTTATTTGATCATCATCCCTCGACCTATTTTACGCTAGGTTGTGCTTTTTTGGTACATTTGAGGTCCTAGCTCGTGTGGGAAGGTCCAGGACGAGTTTCGGGTCATTCGGAGGTCAAAACGAGCCAAAAAAAGGAGGTTGAGCCTGTTCACGGGCTGGAGCTTCAGTTCACCGTGAAGTGACCAATTTCCATAATGGTTTTGAAAGTTACTAGCATCAAGTCAGTTCATGGTCTTAGAGACCGTGAACTGAAAGCCCAGACCGTGAAGTCGTCAGTTCACTATCTAAGACCGTGAACTGAAACACCCGGCCGTCAACTGAAGGCTAAGACTGTAAACTGAGGCTGATCTGGGTATAAAAGGGCTTTGAGCTTAAGGAAAAAAGGGGGGGGGGGAGCTCGAGTAGGTTTTAAGTTTGAAGAATAAAGAGGGTTTTTTTAGTGAGAGATTAGGGTTTCCTCTTCCCATTCTAGAGAGAGAAAGTGTCATCCAAAGAAGGAAGAAGGAGATTGGGCTCAATTCAAGCTAGAGGATTGAAGATCTCCTCTTCTCAAGGGAGATTCAAGCAAGAAGGAAGGAAGATTTTCATCTCTCCATGGTTCTTTCTCTCCTTTTTGTTGTTTTCCTTTGCCTAGCTATGGATTAGCCTTCCTACTCACTTGGGAATTGTGAATCCTAGTCTAGATGTATGTTAGGATGTAAGAACTTGATTCTATTGTGTTGATTGTATGTTCTATATAATATTTGAGGTCTTTTCATGGATGATTGAGTGTGCTAGCTTTTACTCATGGTGGGTCATTTTGACCTAGGTGGAGAGAATCACCTTGTTGAAAGAGGCTTTGGGAAGTTTGATTCTTGGCCAATTTGTGTCACCCACCTAGTAAAATTTAGGACACACCTTAAATTAATCATGATTAGTGAGTGTTGCTTGCATTATCTCTTTGTTGGGTCAAAATTAGCCTTGTGGGTGGAAATCCTCTTTTGGCCCATAGGGAGCTTGACCTCCTAGCCTTTAGGGTAACCCCTTCTAGGTTTATCTAGGGTCAAAACCTCAAGTATCGGAGTAGTACCATGATTCTAGCGTGATTGGTCTAACTGCCGTGCGGGTGAAGATCCAAGAGCTTGATTTGCAACCCTTAGTCGACCGGGTTAGAGGGGTTAGATTGTCTAGTCTACTGTTGTCATCCTTCGCCGAAAGGTTAAGAGAGTTAGTCCACTAACTTAATGCAAAAATCCTAAATTGGTCGACTAAGAGAATTAGGATTTCCTCGGTTGATCGATTAAGACAGCTAGGTTCCCTAGCTTTGTGTCGCAATCCTAAATCGCGACTAGGAATGTTTATCACTAGCTAGTTGCACCCGCCTCATGATGAAAGAACACATCCTTCACAATAGAGTTTTGTTCATTACTTCTTAATATGAGACTAGGAGGAGCAATACCCAGGTGAAGTCCTCTCAAGTAGAATTCTCCTCGATTTACTTTCCTTGTTTGTTCACTTTGTAGTTTTCTTAGTTTTAACCCAAAACCGTTTTGCTAGATAACAACTTAAGCAATTGAAGCAGGGGTACATGGACTGGCCCATGTTTGACAATTAAATACTTGCCCTATGCTGCACCCGGCTAGAGTTTAAAAACTTGGGCTCTAGTCGGGTTAATTCGCGGTGTATCCGTGGCTAGTCAAGTTTTTGGCGCCGTTGTTGGGGAACCTTATAGTCCGTCATCCAGAAAAGGTCGCTTAGTGTTACACTAGCTTTTTCTATCTTGCCTTTTTTTATGTTTTGTTTTCCATGTGTGTTTTGTTTACCACTCTTCGTGCTGAAGGGTGGTTTGTGTGTGTTTTGTTTTCCTTTTTATTGTTTTTGTGTTGGTAGGTATCGAATCATGGATCCTTGTGATTTCACCCAAGTGTGGGGGTATCCACCACCACCCGAGAGTGGTTACCCCAGAACTTCATGGGACGATCAAAATGGGGGAAATCAAGGATCCGGGTTTTACTACCAACCCCCCTTCCAAGGTGAACAAGCATACCAATGGGGGTATCAAGAAGCTTCCCCATATCAAGAAGATTTCCCTCATCAACCCAAGGAAAAATCCAAGATGTAGTTGGCCATGGAGGATTTCATGGGGAATTTGACACCATGTGCCACTCCACAACCGGAGGCAAAGAGCGAATTAGAGCTCATGGGGAGCGACTTTCTCGGGGCACCGATGAAGGGTGCTCTAGCATGGTCCTCCCAATTGTCGCCCCTTTTGACTTAACCTTTCTACGGGAATCAGAGGAGCTCCTTCGACACACGGAGAGGCTAAGAGGCCTTGTTGATCAAACATGTGCACAACTTGCTCACAATCGCCTCCTACCATTGGAAGGAAGAAAGGAAGTCGGAGAGGCGAGCCTTGAGAATTATGGAAGA